CATCTATAAAAGAACATTAGCCCAGATGATTTTTAGACCATTTTTTCAGCTTTATGACTTTATGTATGTATGGGAAGTTAAAGGTGCTTTTGATCCATGGCCACTCAGAATCTCCCTCCGATATCCCACAGTCCTGTCACAGATATTTAGTGACCTTCCACAAAGCAGGAGGCACTGGACATACTTTCCTAGAAACAATATGCCATTTTAATTCTTTTTTTTTTTTTCAGAGAGATTTTTGCTATAGGGCATGTGTGCTCACCAGAGTGACAGAGAAAGACAGACAAAAAGAGAGAAATCACCCCATGCTCCCGGTGGGGTGGCCACGCTGCAATCCCTTCTCCTCCAATCTCTTCTCAGGATTTTGGGCACCCATGCACATACACCCAGCATGAGTTTTAAGCTGCCAGGTCCAGGACTCAAACTGTGGTTGACTACGTTGAAGTCCAGCAATGTAACTGTTACACCATCTGCTGGTCCCAAATATGCCATTTTAAAAGTTAAATTTTCATAGTCTTCACTAAATGACCATGTTTACTATAATTTTATTAAAGCCTCTGAGTTTTCTTAAATATCTGACTAAACTATGAAAATCTGAATATCTATTAAAATTACAAGATTACAAAGTGTCCTTTTTAAAAAAAATTTACTTATTTCTCCCACAAGCGAGAGAGAGACAGCACCCTCAGCAGGGCCTTGGTGCCATAATCCACCCCTAGCGTTCAGCTAGCTCCAGGTCATGGCCAAGTCTGTCCCTGGTGCATTCAGGAAGGTCTCCAGACTTGAATTAAGAACTTTTCCACGTGGGATTGCCTTGCAGAGTGTACCATTTTACCACTCAGCCACTATCTGGCCTCACAGTCCTTTTTCTTATACAAAAATTAACTTACAGGTCAGCTCCAGGGCTTGGTGTGAAGGCAGCTGGATCTCACATGGCCAACTGTGGTTTAAATTCTGGACCTAGGTGCTTAAGAAACATGCGGGACGCTTGTTTGTGCATGCTGAAAATCTCGAAAGGAGGGAGGGATGGAAAAGAAGCGATTGCAGCATGACCATTCCCCATGGAGGGAATGTCTATCTGTCTGTCTCTCTCTGGCAAGGGCATGAACATTTTGACCAAAAAAAAAAAAAAAATTAACCTAGAGGTTTCTTCTTCATAACTTTTATGATTTATATTTCTAATTTTCTACAAACATTTTCCCACACTTTTTTATATGTAAGAAAAATAAATGTTTTCTTATTCTGCAATGAAATAACTTCATAATTCCTATTTCACAGATGATTTCTAATTTCTTATGGTTTTTAAGATACTATTTTTAAAGAATTGTTTTATTTAACTTTATTTATCCATTTATTTATTTATTTCAATTTGACTAGAGAGAGATAGAATGAGAGAGAGAGAGAAAGTGAGAAAGTGAACCACCAGGTTCAGGACTCGAACCACAGTCGGCCATGTGGGAGTCCAGCACCCTTAACTACCACACCACCTGCCAGCCCTGGTTTTGAAGATTTTCTTTACTACTCTCCTAATCTCTTTTACATTCCAGTTCATTCATTATACTTGTTATGAAAAAAGCTGCCATGCTAAGAAGAAACTGCCTAGAAGTATCATTAACAATACTAAATTAATACTAACTTTAAAATATTTTATCCTATAGTCTCTTCTTCAGTTCATTCCTCATGGCAGTCCTATAAAAAGGCCCCCTTTCATGAAATTGAAGGCAATTTTTGCAGTGCAATATTCCTGATGCCAGGCTCAGATTAGGCTGAAATACAAAGCTCTAAAAATTTAATTAGCTCTGTCTTTTTTTCCCACAACTTTTATGAGGTATAATTGGCAAACAATAAATGGCACATAATTAAAGTATACAATTAGAGAAATTGCGACATATATATACCCACCTGTAATACCGTCACCTATAATTGAGAAGATGAATATAGACAAATATATCCATCACCCCCAAGCATCTCTTCCTTTGTGATACCACCCTCCCTCTCATCTCCACTCACCCATTTCCTCACTCTCATACTCCGCAATCCTCCCCTAAGCCTCAGGCAACCACTGATCTGCTGTCACTATCTAGTTCAGATTTTCTAGACTCTTAAATAATGAAATCAAACAATACTGTCTTTTTCTTTCTTTCTTTCTTTCTTTCTTTCTTTCTTTCTTTCTTTCTTTCTTTTTTCTTTTGGTTTAGTCTAGCTTTTTTTCACTTGGAATAATTATTTTAGATTCAACCATGTTGTTAAGTGTCTCCATTGTTCATTCTTTCTTAGTACTGAACAGTATTCCATTGTGTGCATGTACCATAATTTGTTTTACATTCAACTGTTGCTGGATATTCGGGTTGATTCTGGTTTGGGTGTGTTACAAATAATGCCATGAATCTTTATGTACAAGTCTTGGTGCAGACATAAGCTTTCATTTCCCTCAGGAAAATACCCAGGAGTAGAAAGCCTGAATCATGTTGTTGGTGTGTGTGTAGCGTTGTAAGAAACAGTCAAACTGTTTTCCAAAATGATTATGTTATTTTACATTCCCAGTGTGCAGTCCATGAGAATTCCAGCTTTTTCACATCTTAGTCAACACCTGATACAATAAGTCTTTTTAAATTTAGCCATTCTAGAGGGTAGGGTATGCTGTGATATCTCATTGTAGTAATACTTCTCATTTACATTTCCCTAATGACTAATGATATTGAGTATCTTTTTATGCACTTCTTTTGTCATCCATAAATCTTTGGTGAAATGTCTGTTCAAACCTTTTGTCCATTTTTAAAAACCATTTTGTTTTCTTATTGAATTAAAGAGTTCTTTACGTAGTCTAGTTGGAAGTCATTCATGAAGTATATGTTTTGCAAATATTTCCTCCAATTTTCTTAACAATCTTCAGAAAAGCAGAAATGTTTGATTTTGATGAAGTACAATTAATAAAAATTTTTGTGCCAGGTTTTAAAAATCTTTACCAAATCCAAAGTCACTAATATTTTTCTTCTACACTTTCTTATATAGGTTTTGTAATTTCAGTTCTTACATTTATATCTAGGATTCATTTTTAGTTAATCTGTGTATATAGTGTGAAGAAAAGGTAAAGATTCTTCTTTTTTTTGCATATGCTATGCCAATTTTTCCAGCTACATTTGTTGAAAATATTACCCTTTCTCTATTGAATTACCTTGGCATATATGTTGCAAATCAATTGGGTACATATGTGTAGATCTATGTCTTGGTTCTCTATCTGAACCATGTTCTCTCTGTCTATACCAATAACATGCTGTGACTACAATAGCACTTACAAATCTTGAAATCAATAGTGTAAATCCCCAAACTTTGTTTTTCTTGAGCAATGTCTTAACTATACCATAGTTCCGTTTGCATTTCCAGATAAATTTTAGAATCAGCTTGGTAGTTTTCACAAGAAGATCCTGTTAGACTTTTTTTTTTTTTTTGAAGAGGTTGTTGCTATAGGGCGCCTGCACTCCAGAAAGACAGAGAGGCAGAAAGCGAGAAATCCCCCCCCGGGGGGATAGCCATGCCACAACCCCTTCTCCTCCATTATCCTCTCGGGATCTTGGGCACACATGCACACAGACCCAGTGTGAGTGTAAGTCCCCAGGCTGGGACTCGAACCGCAGTCAACTACATGGGAGTCCAGCGACATAGTCATTACACCAATTGCTGGTCCTCCTCAATCCTTTATTTTTTTGTCTTATTTTATTGCATTGATTGCAATAGTTCATTTTTAAGCTCTTGGCTTTTCCAGGATTTAAGTATCCATCAAATGTTCAAATACTGAACAACCAACTGCATGTCAGCACAGCTGGTAGTCTTGGTGGTCAGGGAGACAATCGTGGACAAACAGACTTGGCCCTGGCCCTGACAAAGTCTTAGCATCTAACTGAGGTAGTTTAAAACAAGAGTTAAAAGTACAGGCCCAGGGTTCTGTTGAATTTGGTTTGATTCTGTTTCTGTTCCTAACTGGTTGTTTGACCTTGAAAAAGTTCATCAACTTTTTAAGCCTGCTTTTTCATCTGTAAAATATGAAGGTATTAATAATATCTACCTCACAGGATTGCTATGAGGATTAAATGAACTAATACCTTTAAGGTACTTAAAACGAGGTTTGGCAACAATAAATGGAAATTACCATTAATGTTATCTGTTATTAGAGGGCAGGATTAGTTCTTCCCAGGGTAAATCTACAAATGACTGGTGAAGGATTTGTGTCCAAACATTAAGAAGCGTAAGAAGGCGTGAAGTCTAGCTGCTGAGCAAAGACGCTGTAGTGTTAGTCATACCTGGACTTAAATCCTAGCTCTGCTGGCTGAGTACTTTGAATAAACTAAACAAGAGCAAGGGCCTGTAAAGTGCCTACTGCAGTATTTGGCACACACAGATGCTTAATGGACAATTATCAGGACGTCCTGAGAAGCAATAATATCGCTGACATGTGCTCATAATAATAATAGTTGCCATATACAACGGTCTGTCATTTTGGACCCAATGCCAGTTACTTTTCACGAATTCTCTTTTATGCTTAACAACCCAACTGTGTGAACGCTATGGGCCCCATTTCACGACAAAAATAATGAGCTGATGTTTGTGTAGCTGTGATCAGCGGGAGGCTGGGGACCTAGTAAAGAGTGGTTTGGAACTCAACCCCTGACCAAATCGGGGCTCTCAGCAGTCTGTCACCAGTTGGGCCCTGGACATTCGGCTCCGGAGACCGCGCGGGGAGAGGCAGGAGCCACCCCGCAGACGGCCCCACCGAGCGTGCCTCGAGGAGCCTGCCGGCGAGGTCTCTCTGGCACCGAGCTCGGCTTTAGCCGCTGCCCCTACCATCTCAGGCGGTCTTGGGATTCGGAGATCCAGCTCCGGCCTCCAGCCTCCAACTTCTCCCCGAAAAGCCGGACGTGAGAGACAGCGCGGAGCGCTGCGGGGGTTGTTGGACACGGTCTCTAGGCAACGCGTCGGGGGCCGGGCTTTACGTCACTGAGCCGCGACCTGGTCGCGTACCCAGCTGCCACCGCCTCAGCCTGCGGGTCTGAGCGGCCTAAACGGGCGGTGCCGGTGCCGCCGGGAGCGCGATGCCTTGAGTTTGGGGTGAGCTCCGCGGCGCTGTCATTTGCCATTTCCCTTTCTAGCTGCTCCACGACCCTCGGGCTGGGAGTAGAAACACCCTCCGGCTTCGACTGCCTCGCTGGACTCCAGTGGGGAGATAGGCCTGGCCCGCCCTTTGCAGGCCTCGGTTTACGACGCGGGGCTGGCTCGGGAGGCCCTCTGGTGGACGCGCCGTCCCCAGTTGCCCGACCAGGTTTCTGGCCCCGCTTTGGGGGTGGTTCTGGGGGACCAGGAGAGAGCTTGTCCCCCCGCGAGCCCAGAGCCAGTTTTTGAATATTGCCGCCGGCGCAGTCAGTTGGCCGCCGGACTTGGCTGTTTCTAGACCAGGTGCGCTTGAGGAGGGGTTGGGGCGGCCCAAGGGCTCCAGCTCCAGGACAGCCGCGGCGCTGCGTCCCCGCCTGCCCCCACAATCCGAATAAGAAACCCTTGGCCTGGGACAATGGCCCCGAGCTAGCCACGTTGATCTACTTAGCTAGCCCCATGTTTCTGAATTAACCTGGGCTTCTCCCCATCCCAAAGGCTCTTCCAGGAGACCTAGCTGAGAGAACACGATTCCCTCCTGGTAATCGTACTGATTACCCTCAAAAGAAGAGAAGCCTTCACTGTTCGCTTTTGAAATTACTTCTTCGGTCATTTCATGTTACAAAATATAGGTTATAGGTTACTGAAATTCATCCCTAGCCCCCTTATTAAATGGCAGTGTTCTTCCATATTTTGACCGTGAACTGTGTCGTGGTGCCAAATGATTGTGTACTTTCTTCTGATGTATGGATAAAGCTGCTGTAACCCTTCTAGTTGTTTGTAATTCTTACATCTTCGATACAAAGTTACTGGCATTTCTTCTTCCCTCCACCTAGTCTTGTTGGTATAAACTCCATTCAGAATTTTGTCTTGAGCATGAGCTGCGATGAACCAAAAGTCCTTTAGTCACCTCGGGTGAAGGCATCCTTCTGAATAGTGATGCTTTCTCAACTCAGAACTCAAAAATAGTTTGAATTGTTCTCCTTTCTTTTCACGCTGCCTGGCTTTGGTTTCTAAATACTTTCTTCCAGAATGATTTGTACGTTTAAGAACTACGTTCGCTGGTTGTCATTTGTTGTATTTGATGCCTGTAGCTTGATGTTTCTTGTTTCACATCCAAACACTAACGCACTTCCTCTTCTCCCCCGGAAAGCAGAGTCCAAGAGAATCCTTGCAAGTCTAGTGTATTTTCTCTAAATATGAAATGTATTTAGTAAGCTGACTAGTGCTGGTAGAAATCCATATTCTTAATCTCCAAGTGTTCTCCTTTCCTTCATAGTTTTTCTTTCTGTAATTTTTTTCCCCCTGAATACAATCTTTGAACCCAGAATAGGCATTTCAGACTCTGTTGTGTCTGACAGGCCTTATTGTTTCACTCTGTATCTGATATAACTGTGTTAACTTCTTGTCTTGAAAAACAGCTGATAATCTGCTTATAGATCTAGAGTCTGAGTAAGCAGTGAGTAATAAATAGTATCCTCAGGGTAGTACTGTACTACTTAGTATTTATTACTGACGTTTAAGTTGACAAAGCATTCCATGATTATTTTAATTATCAGTATCTTTTTTTGTAAGTGAAAATATAAAATTTGATGAAGAACAGGTTTAAGAGAGATTTTCTAAATACTATTGTGCTTGTCAACCAGTCATGCTATTGCACTTTCAGGCTTTGCAAGTTTGCTTTAATCCTAACTTTTATGAATGAATTATGGTTTAAATTTTCCAGAAATTTTTGTGGATTTTGTTTTGTTTTGTTTTTGAAATTACCCATGATGTGATTTTTATGTTTTTATAAAGAATATTTTAAAAACAACAATTCATTTGTCAGAAGATGTGATCAATTTTATGTACCACCCACTAGAATATGTGGCATTTTTAGAATGCTTGTTAACGTTCTTATGAGTTCAAAACAATACTTCTTTATTTAGCAAATCGTTCAAATTTTTTTTGAGAGCACTTCATTTTATCTTGCTAGAAGAGACTATATTATAGGTGACACAACAGTATGAGAGCTGCTAGTTCTTTGAGAAATCTCAATGAGAAATTTGTCTTTTGCTGTATTTAAGGCCAGTGATTTATAAGTGATGTTCCTATGCAATGCCACTTTTCCATGATCTAGAGGAAAGTATGCCGATAATATCAAATCTTGAGTGTTTTCTAATTTATATAAACATTAATGATAAATTTTCACAATTCAGCGTTTTTCTTCTATATAATTAACTTCTGGTTCTGTCCACTTAGTACTAATAAATGACTGAACACATTAACAAGTCAACAGAATATTAACTGAATAATAAAAAACTTATAGCTATCAGTAATAGTCATTCACTTAGTAAATTTATAATAGATACAGTAAACGTAGTAAATTTATTGAGTGCCTACATATCTGCCAGAGGAGGGGACACAGCTGCTAGCCTCCAAAGGCTTACAGAGGGGAGTCAGTGACTTAGCCGATAATATGTGCTATGAGGGAAATACACGCAGAGTCACATTTTATCTTTCTTTTCTTAGGAGAGATTTTTGGCTGTAGGGCATGTGCGCTTGCTGGACAGACAGAGAGAAAGAGAGAGTCAGAAAGTGAGAAATCATGCTCCCAGAGGCGATGTGCACACCACAGTTCCTTTTCCTCCAGTCTCCCCTCCGGACTTTGGGCACACTCGCATGCACGTACGCACACACACCCAGAGTAATTCTGTATTTGTGTGATTACCGTCTCTTCCCTACTGTATTGGAAGCTCCATGGTGGTACTTTTTTGCTCACTATTGTATCCCCAGAACATAAGTGCCAAGCACATGGTACTCATTGAATTTAATTTTAATTTTCAATTTTAATTATTATTTTTAATTTTTAAACATGCTTTATTGGAGAGAGACAGAGAGGGAGAATGCTTGATTGGAGAGAGACATCCTGGGAGGATGGCCACACCACAGTTCCTCCTCCTCCATTCTCCTTTCAGGATTCTAGGCACCTATGTACACACATCTCTTGTGATTTTTTCAAGCCACCAGGTCTAGAGCTTGAACTGTGGTTGACCATGTGGGAGTCCAGCACGTTAATCACTACACCACCTGCTGGCCCCCGTCATCGACTTTATTTATTTTTCTTTTTTGGGAGGTTTTTTCGCTATAGGACGCGTGCGCTCGCCAGACAGACAGAGAGAGACAGACAGAAAGCGAGAAATCACCCCCCCGCCCCCCGGGGGGATGGCCATACCACAATCCCTTCTCCTCCATTCTCCTCTCGGGATCTTGGGCACGCGGCGCGCCCGGCGTGAGTTTTAGGCCACCGTGTGGGTCGCAAATCGCGGTCGACTACATGGGAGTCCAGCGACATAGCCATAACGCTAACTGCTGGGCCCATCGACTTTAATTTTTAAAAAGGCCATATAGTACAGTTGCTCCCTACCACCAGTCTGCAGTCATTGGCTTCTGATGATATTTTCACAAGTTTGGATAAAAACGTGAAACATAAGGACAATGTGTCCTGTTAATATATGTATGTAGTAAATGTCTGTGAAGTTACTGTCCTTTTTGGGAAGTATTTTTATTCTAATATTATATTAGGCTTTAAGTAGTTCTTTTTGAATTTTTTTTGTTAAGATTTAGAACTGTTTTGATTATTTTTGGAAACTGTCTTTGTTTAGAATTAAAAGAAGTGTGTAACACTATGATTCTTTGAGATTTTTCTAGTCTGTGAAACTCTGGAATCTTTGATGTTGAATGCCCTAGGGACCTTTCCTAAGTTGAGATCTGTAATTATTTCTTTTTGGATACTGTTGCTATAAAATCACTTGGCTATATTTAAAACATACAATTTTGTCTTCAGATTTTTTTTTTTAGTGGCCTGGATCTTCCTCAACAACTTCCTTTCAGTTATTTCTCTAATATGATATTTGCTGTTGCCAAGTAGGCTCAGATTCAAAACAGTAATTGACTTATTCTTTTTTTTAGTACAATTGTACTTTTCCTATGTTTAAGGTAATTAAAAGAACAAACCTCATATACAGTGAACTAACTTTTAGTACCAAAAGCAGAATTTATATACTTATCGTCACTAAATTTATATTTTAAAGTAATTTTTTTATGTTTTAAAGTTATAACCTTATTTTTTTAATAAGTGATAAAACACGTTTCTTAGCATGACTATTTTACCTGCTTTATAGGATATAAATGTTAATTTGGACAAAATAAGATTATAGTCTTTGATGAGTAAATATAGAATTTCTTTGGAAGGATCAGATTTTAATAATTTTTATCTTTTTCTATCTTTGTTTTTAATAATTGAGGGAGAAAAAAACCTACTACTAGCAAGTTACTTTAACCTCACTGTGCATGTTTCCTTAATACTTACATTTCTTCTGTAAAATGGAAATTAGGATATTTAAATAACTGAATTCATGAATACATGTAAAGTACTTAAACAAGTGTGTCACACGATGGAAGCAATCGGCAAATACTAGCTGTTTATCTATCATTAGTAATCATATTGAATAGTGGTTTGCACATTCAATTATTAGATATGTGACCATAGGCAAATACTAAACATTTAGCTTATTTTCTGTTTTAACCAGATTCTCATTGCTTGCTATTCTGGTAAATCATTATTTACCAAAGGAAAGTAGCTACCTAGAATGAACACATCCAACTCCTCTCCAGCCGCAATACATAGAATTATGTCTTTCAAGACTTTAGAGTAAATGGTACTAAATACTTTATGGTTAAATTTTAAAGTCAATTGAACAAATTATTGATCTATATTGTTAGTAGATTATTAAAGTAGTGATCCAGCCCTTTAACTAAAATGCATTCATATTTACAGAGCAAGTTACATAAATTCTCAGAGCGAAAGGGCTGTTGTGTTTTTAATTTTGTTTCCTAGACAGAAAATGTGAGGTGGATAAATTATTTAACACTTTAATTTTCTAGGGGTTTCAAATTAAAAAATCTTTACTTTTTCTATTTAAAATAAGTTGCTCATTTATAAAATAAATTCAACCAAAAAATTTAGCTGATATCATTATAATGAGCTAGTATAGCATAGCAGTTAAGAATGTGAGCACTAAAGTCACAAGAAATTTGAGTTCAAAGTTCACTTCTACCATTTACCGATTGTATGCCTTTGGGTGTTACTTAACTCCATATCCTTATCCATAAAATAGAGATATAATAATGTCTATCTCTTGGGATTGATGTTAGAAATTAATGACCTAATACAGGTCCAGCCCCATAGCACAGCAGTTAAACACAGTGCTTAATGGGGCTAGATTCCACATGACCATGTTTCAAGTCTCTGCCTCAGACTTGAAAGACACAGCAAACCCATGGGTGGGTTCATGTGTGTCCAAAATGCTGATGAAGTGGACAGATGTAAGCAAAAGGATTACCATGTAATCACACACACTGAAGGGTACTTTCTCTCTTTCTCTGTCTCATTGGCATATGCACCCTCTGGCAATAAAAAAATGTACAATATATGCAGTAAGGAAATGTTCTTAGAAAAATTTAATAAGGTAGACAAACTTCTTTATTTTTTTTTTTTTGAGAGGTTTTTCGCTATAGGGCGCGTGCGCTCGCCAGACAGACAGAGAGAGACACATAGAGACAGAAAGCGAGAAATCACTCTCCAAGTGGGATGGTCACGCCGCAATCCCTTCTCCTCCATTCTCCTCTCGGGATCTTGGGCATGCACACACACACGCCCGGCGTGAGTTTTAAGCCACCGAACCGCGGTTGACTACAAGGGAGTCCAGCGACATAGCCATTACGCTAACTGCTGGTTCCCAAGGTAGACAAACTTCTGTTAAACACAGTCACTTGAATGTACTCTTGTATGTGTAAATGCATGTGTATGGGAAAGTGTATGTGTTTTAATGGTTTATAACTTGTCAAAATTGTAGAAATTAGGGAACCAGCAGTTAGCATAATGGCTATGTTGCTGGACTCCCACGTAGTCGACCGCGGTTCGTGTCCCGGACCCAGTGGCTTAAAACTCACGCCGGGCGCGTGTGCGTGTGTGCCCAAGATCCCAAGAGGAGAATGGAGGAGAAGGGATTGCGGCATGACCATCCCCCTGGGGGGTGACTTCTCGCTTTCTGTCTCTCTGTCTCTCTCTGTCTGTCTGGTGAGCGCACGTGCCCTATAGCAAAAACCTCTCCAAAAAAAAATAAATAAATAAAAACAAAACAAAACAAAACAAAAAATTGTAGAAATTAGAGGTTCATCACCTTTCTAGTAATGTAAGTGAGTTGTATTTTCTCAGCTATGTGAATATGAAAAAAATTTAAATCTCTACTTTAAAAATACTATTTTTTAAATAAATTCTACCTTAGACTCAAATAAGTCTAGTGAACTTAAAGATACCCTTAATTTTTTTTCAGAATGGATCTATTGCTATTTTTATTTTATATGTAAAAATAACTTTTGTATATATTGGACAGAAACTATGTGAAGCAACACTCTTTGTGGATTTTGAAAAATATCATTTCATCATGGGACAGCAAATTTCGGATCAGACGCAGTTGGTTATTAACAAGTTACCAGAAAAAGTAGTAAAACATGTCACATTGGTTCGAGAAAGTGGCTCTTTAACTTATGAAGAATTTCTTGGAAGAGTAGCTGAACTTAATGATGTGTAAGCCTCTTTTTTCATTTTATTTTTCTCCTTATGTATGTCTCATATGTGATATGATGTGTATGATGTCACCAAAAAAGATAGATTGTTAGGACTTGACCATGTAAGCAGAAGGTATTAAAAATACATTGTATGCCCATTATAAATAGATGTTCTATGTAACTGTTTTAAAATACAGAATGGGGGCATTTGGATACCACATGGGCAACTGTGCAGTTGAGTCTCAGACTCAGACTTAAAAAGCACTCCAGGTGTGAGCATGCTCAGAATCCCAAAAGGAGGGAAAAATGGAGGGAAATGGATTGCAATTCAGGACTACTTAATATATAAACTTAAAATATTTAGTCACCAGGGCCATCAAGTGTCTGGATTCCCACATGGTGGATCATGGTTCAAGTCCCAGACCCATTGGCTTGAAAATCACACCAGCTGCTTGTGCAAACATGGCTCAAATTCCAAGTGGAGAAGGGATTGTAGCATAGCCATTTTCCTAGGGGGTGATTTCTCGCTTTCCCTTTCACTGTCTGTCTATCTCTCCCTAGTGATCACATGTACCCTATAAGCAAAAACCTAAAATTTAAAAAAAAAAAACAAAACTAGTCACCATTATAGTAGGTTCATATAATATGAACCTACTGCATAGACTTTATGACAGATGTGTTTGATGAAAAGAGGCAAATTTGGCATATGGGACACATAAGAACAAAACACTTTATAAACATGGTTGGCATCTACTGTTAGTAGCCAGTCATAAACAGGAAGAATAAAGAATGTCTTAAAATTTAAAATTGTTTTAGAAGAGATTTTCTCTTAAGAACACTGATTTCATTCATTAAAAAAAAATAAAAACCTGTACAGAAAAAGATATATATAAATACATAGAAAATAAAATAGAGGCTAACTATTCCCAATGCTTATTCTGGAAGATGGTGAAAAAAGGGGACCCGGAAGGGAAGTTTTTCATTTCACTGTGTGTATTTGTATATTGTCTTATCTTTTTTTTTTTTTTTTTGGAGAGATTTTCACTGTAGGGCGCGGGCGCTCGCCAGACAGACAGAGAGAGACATAGAGACAGAAAGCGAGAAATCACCCCCCAGGGGGGATGGTCACGCCGCAATCCCTTCTCCTCCATTCTCCTCTCGGGATCTTGGGCACGCACGCACACGCGCCCGGCGTGAGTTTTAAGCCACCGGGTCTGGGACATGAACCGCGGTCGTCTACGTGGAAGTCCAGCGACATAGCCATTATGCTAACTGCTGGTTCCCTATTGTCTTATCTTTTTATGATAAGAATGTAGACACAGGGTTTTAAGTGGCATTTCACTTGTTTATTTTTAACTATGCAAATATTAGTGTTTGAAGCATTACTTCTGGGACCATGTTCTTAAGGAGTAAAAAATATTAGGATTAAGAATTAGTCATATTATAAGAGTGGAATGCATTGTGTTTATAGTTTCAACTCTTTTGAAGAGTAATCAATAAGTCTATTCAGTGTTTTGGAATTTATATACTTAAGTTCAGTCTGTTTTATACAATTTTGCCTTTTGGCCTAAAGATAGTGGGTAAAATGTGTCCTGTGAACTCAGTCATAAGCTAAGGTTACTGTGTAATACAAAGGTGATAGGAAATACCTTCCTTTTATTTATTTAGCACCAACACTTCCAACTGGCTTTGGTTCTTAAAACCAAAACCATGGATTATAGTGAGTATTTCATAAGTGCAGTGCTTCCTGAGAATTGTAAAGTTAAACGTGTATGGAAGAAGCACAGCCTGGTAGCTAGAAAACAGAACTAGAAACAGGTACAGCTGAAATTATTTTCACTGGCAGACTTTGTTTCCTAAGGCAGTTAGTTGCCTAATTTTTGATGGCCTCATTTTATTTAGTCATGAGTCACTTAGTTAACTGTGGAGTCCCACTGGTACAGAGAAATATCAGTAATAGTGAAAGGGAATTGTAATATTTAAATATGTCTTGAATGGATTTAAATAGGTATTGATAGCATGATATTGAATTAACCTATAAAAGTTATATTTTTATTTTAGGATGCTGTGGCTTTCTAAATTAAAATTACTCTGCTAGGAGAGGGCAGTAGAGCTATTGGGTCATTGGAAAAGTCATGATGTATTTTTTTTCATGTTTTTCTATATAAAATGTGTCATGACTTTTCCAGTGGTCCAGTATATTTAATAATTTGTTTAACTTGATTGAGCCCCAAATTATGTATAAAACAAAAAACTTTAAAAGAGGCATATAATGTTGTTGTTTAAACAGAGGGCTCAATCAAGAGCAAGATTTTCCCCCTTTATTTAAATCTGAGTCCATAGTCAAAATTTGAATAGGTGAAGCCAGCTAAACTTTTTCTTTAAGTATTTGTTTTCATCAACTTGTTTTTCTTAAACATTTTTGTCTTTGTTAGAAATTTAAAGCCCACTGAGATACAGATAAGACCAAAAGATATTTATAAATATCATTCCACTAAGCTTTATTATTTCATACAACTTCATAAAATTAACAAATGTGTTTTTCTTTTCAGAACTGCAAAAGTGGCTTCTGGTCAGGAAAAACATCTTCTCTTTGAAGTACAACCTGGGTCTGATTCCTCTGCATTTTGGAAAGTGGTTGTACGAGTTGTCTGTACCAAGGTGAGAATGACAGAAACTTCTGACTCTGAGCTTAAACTGTTTTGTTGGTGAGAACCAAATTTGATAGTTCCACTAATATAGCATAGTGGAAATAAATGTTGAGTTTGGTGGTCTTGTAAAATATAATTTCAGTACTGCCATGGCATTCCAACTAACTGAATCTCACTGGTCACCTAATTGCTATATAGCACATAATGTTTAAACCATTAGGAAGGTTTTCTGGTTTTGTTTTGGTTTTATTCTTTAGTGCTTGTGAGTTATGGAATGGATAACTATTCAATAAAATGGCTCCAAACTGTTTTTTCTGCTTTATTCACAACTATCTACTTTTATGGTCTGCAGCCTCACCAGGTTTAACTAATTTAAGACTATAGAGCTATTACTTTCCTTCCTTATTACCTCTGCTATTGCAATCCCTCACCTAGAATTTGCATTCGTCCTGTCATTTCAGTTGTCACCAGGTATAAGTCACAGAAAAGTCCTGTTAAGCCAGTTTAAGAAAAAATAGTATTTATTTTCTCACTTTTCAAGAAATCCTGATAGAAGCTAGTTCCAGGATTGGCTAAATACCCAACTCTTCCTAACTCATTGGTCAATATTAGATCTCATCTCCTTTGTACATTTAGACTGGCAGGGAGAATGTGATTACCATGACAGATTTAGATTAGACTAACCAGGATTGACTGAGAGTCATTTTAGGTAATAGAAGACACCAAAACAAAATCAGGCTCTGCTGGCAGTAAAAAGTGGTATGGTGTTTGGATAATCAACCAATAGTTTCTGCCACATCTTTTATTTCTGTGTGTTTAAACTTAATGTCTCTTTAAATATCCACTTCAAATCCTATCTCCATAAAGTTTCCCTAAATGGAATTCTCTTGCCTCTTTTAAATTCCAACAGAACTTTATAATTTACAATTAAATTCTACATTAAGAATAAAATTGTTTATTTAGGTCTTTAGCTTCCCTAATAGATAGTAAGGTCCTTAGAGCAGGAAATATGTCTAGATTTATCCTGTATCCCTTATGGCCTGTAATATACTGTCTTGCACTTGGCAGGAACTCTGTCTGTTGAGTAAATGAAATTCTGTTGAGGAAATACTCCTTTTTTATAAAAAAATTTATTCATTCAATCATTTATTTATTTATTTATTTATTATTTTAAGAGAGATATTTGCTATAGGGCTCGTGTGCTTGCCAGAGAGACAGAAAGTGAGAAGTCACTTCCCAGAGGTATGGTCACACTGCAATCCCCTCTCCTCCATTTTCCTCTAGGGATCTTGAGCAACACACACACACACACACACACACACACACACACACACATACTCCTGGCATGAGTTTCAAGCCACTGGGTCCAGGACGCGAAACGCAGTCAACTACCTGGGAGTCCAGCAGTATAACCATTTTGCCAAAGTCCCAAGGACATACTCTCATTTTAAATGACTTAGGTAGGTTGAAGCTTTTCTTGTTTATTGATAAACATATCGATTCAGAATATTACGTAAATTACATTTCGCTATCTATTTCATAAAGTACCCAGCTCACATTGAAGAGACTGGTATAAATTGTAGAAAATTATGGACATCTGAAAATTAAGAATGTGTCAGATTTTTGATCCCTTAGTTTTCTGTTACTGTTCTTTGACAAACACAGAATTAATGTTTAATATTCTTATTAGTCGAATCATTTTTGTCAAATATCTCTAATCATTGCATCTGTATACAATTAGTTTGAATATCTTCACTTAAGGGACCAGCAGTTAGTGGAATGGCTATGTCGCTGAATTCCCATGTAGTCGACCACAGTTCGAGTCCTGGACCTGGTGGCTTAAAACTCACACCAGGCACGTGTGCATGCGTGCCCAAGATCCCGAGAGGAGAATGGAAGAGAAGGGATTATGGTGTGGCCATCCCTCCTGGGAGGTGACTTCTCGCTTTCTGTCTGTCTCTCTCTATCTTTCTGGCGAGTGCATGGACCCGATAGCAAAAAAAAAAAAAAAAACTTAAAATAAGATTTTAAATAAAATCTGTTAAAGATAATTCAATCTTTCTTTTGTGTGATTCTTCTTGATTTTAGATATACTTTAAAGACTTACATTCCTTAGGTTCTTTTCAAAAGGATCTGTGAGAAATCAGTCTTTTAATTAGAGTTTAAGTCCAATATGAAAACTGATAGGAGACTGAAGGTTTCATTATCTTTTTTTTTCTTTTTTGAGAGATTTTTGCTATTGGGTGCATGCACTTGCCAGACAGACAGAGAGAGACATTAGAGACAGAAAGCGAGAAATCACCCCCCAGGGGGGTATGGCCACGCCGCAATCCCTTCTCCTCCATTCTCCTCTCGGGATCTTGGGCACACACGCACACGTGCCCGGCGTGAGTTTTAAGCCACCGGGTCCGGGACGCGAACCGCGGTCGACTACGTGGGAGTCCAGCGACATAGCCATTACGCTAACTGCTGGTTCCCAAGGTTTCATAATCTTAAACAACTAAAGAAAATTTTTGCCTTAACCTTTACATTAGACCCTATCTTGACTATCTGCCATCTGCTATGATTATCCTCAAATATTATTTAATTCATTATTAAAAATTTAATTACGTTTAAATGGAACATTTTGTCGGATATTGGGACAATTAATAATAGGTTAATTGAAAATTATGTATTTGGCCAGCCAATGGCATGGAGGTTAAGGTGCTAGATCCCACATGACTGACTATACAATTTGAGTCTGGACCTTGTAGCTTGAAAATCATGCTGGGACCATGTGCATGCATGCCCAAATACCTAGAGGAGAATGTAGGAGAAGGGATTGCAGAGTGACCATCCCCCCAGGGAGTGATTTCGCACTTTGCCATTCTCTCTCTCTTTCTCTCTCTCAGGCGATTGCATGTGCCCTATAGCAAAACTTAAAAAATAAAAATAAATAAATAAATAAAAGTATGTACTAAGGTGATTATTAGTAAGCTTAATGGATTACATTATTTTCATTTTTCTTGTTACTAAACAAGAACCTTGAAGTCATCCTTGACTTTTTTTTTTTTCCTCTCATACCCCACAGTCAGTCCATCAGTGAATCCTGTCAGGTTTCTCTTTGATACATATTTAGAATCTGGCTAATTCTCACCATCTGCACTACTCTCACCCTATTACTAGCAATCATTGTTTCACCAGGATTGTTCCAATATTCTTCCGATTGGTCTCCCAGCTTTTGTTCTTGCCCTCTTTCCATCTGTTCTCAGCACCATAACCAGTCTACTCCATCTTACAATTGGAAATGTAAGTCAGGTCATATTATTTATTGCTTCAAAACCCTTCCGTGACTTCACTTCGCCTCAGGAGAAGCTGATATTACAGTGATCAGTCAAGTCCAAGTAGTTGGTCCCACCCTACCCTCTAGTCTTACCTGTGCCACTCCTCCCTCTCTCATTTGTTCCTGCCTCTCTGGGCTCCATTCTCTTTTGTGTTTCTTGCTAGGTACACCTGCCTAATGACCTTTCCACTTCTATTCTTTGAATCTGGAATGACCTTCATCCCAGAGGATTCATTTTTGCACCTTTTCTAGTTTTAGTGTGTGCGCTTGCCAGAAAGACAGAGAAAGACAGAGAGAGACAGAGAGACAGAAAGCGAGAAATCACCCCCCAGGGGGAATGGCCACACCGCAATCCCTTCTCCTCCTTTCTCCTCTCGGGATCTTGGGCATGCACACACACACATGTCCAACGTGAGTTTAAGCCACCAGGTCTGGGACTTGAACCGTGGTCGACTACATGGGAGTCCAGCGACATAGCCATTATGCTAACTACTGGTCCCACCTTTTCTAGTTCTTCAGGTCACCTTCTTCACAACCCTTTCCTGCAACTCCTTAGCATTCTTCCTCCCATTTCACATTCCCCATAACACTTACTTTCATCCGACCTAATCTGTATTTTCTCCGTCTCTCCTTCCTCTTATGTAACTTGCACAAGGGCAGAGGCATTTGTTTGTACTTGCTCTGTCATTACTGCCCAGAGCCATGCACATAGTACTTTTAACAGGCACATAACGGGGACTTGGTAAATATTTGTTTGCAGATCTGTGATCAGAAAAGTTGTAGTCTGATAAACTTTGCCTTTACAGTACTAAGCTTCTATGAATTATTCCATAATTTCTTCTATACCGTGCAGTTCTAAAGACTGACCCAGTTTACTCAGCTCTGAAGATCTGTTTTGTAAACCTCTATAAATACATGTCACCTTTTATTTCTGTTTTTGTTCTCTATACCATGTACAGTCTCTTAATACAAAGAACTTTGTATATTTGCATTTTCCTATCAATCTTACCTTGCCCAAATGTAAGCAAATTTTGATTATTAGAGATGGTTCTACCATTTTTACAATGTGGTAGAACACATTCTTGATTCTCAGTATTTTCTTTCACTCCCTTCTTAAGTAGTAAACAATTAATAAATATTATTAATACTGTTGGGGCCAGCAAGTGGCATGGTGGTTAAGTTGCTGGATTCCTACATGGCTGACCATAGTTTGAATCCTGGACCTGGTAGCTTGCTTTCTCACTTTCTATCCCCCCCTCTCTCCGTCTCCATCTCTCTCTGGTAAGTGCATGTACCCTGTAGCAAACTGAAGTAATGATAAATGAAGTTAAATAAATAATTCTTTAAATTAAAAAGTGTTAGTTTCAACTCTTATTATTTTTATTCCAAATATTTAAATTTGCTAAAGTTTTTTCAAATGTAACCTAACTCCCCCACTTTCTCATATCCTAGGTTCCATCAACATATTTTAAAATGTAACTTAATTCATGATTTTAAAGGCTTCTCTCTTTATAGTTCTTCCTGTATTCATTAATTCATCCTCGATATTTTCTGATTTTGCTGTTCCATTTAAATAACTCTGTTAATTAAGAAAGACTTTAAGAAATGAAAGTGAAAGAATTGTCATTGCTATCTAAAATCCGTTTCTTAACTCTTGGAGTCACCAAACCTCATCAACTCTAAACAGGATAATGTCTAATAGATCTGACAGTATTTATTTGAGTCTCAAATGAGATGAATTTGTAAAAGTACTTTGAACACCACAAATATAAGGAACGTGCTATTATTCATTTATTCAGATCCTTGCTTTCTCAAGTAATTTGCAGATGTTGAAAACAATTTCTTCCTAGGATGTTTAACTAAATATTTCTTGTTCTCTCCTTTTGGAAAAATCATTCAGAAAAATGATCTACTGTTCTCTTGTTTTTTTTTGCTTGCTTTGATTTTTTTAGATTAACAAAAGCAGTGGCATTGTGGAAGCATCACGGATCATGAATTTGTACCAATTTATTCAACTGTATAAAGATATCACAAGTCAAGCAGCAGGAGTGTTGGCACAGAGCTCCACCTCTGAGGAACCTGATGACAGCTCATCCTCTGTAACATCTTGTCAGGCTAGTCTTTGGATGGGAAGGTACACGATGCATAATCACCAGGTTCAATTCTTATCCAATATACAAACTATTGAAATCTTATTAACAGTTCTGCTGGTGCTCATTGTGACCTCTTAAATCTTTTTGTCTTTGTTGGTATTATATCCCAGATCAGTTTTTGGATTGCTCTGTGCTTCAGATAGTGCCAAATTAAAGCAACTCATTAAATTAAACCAGTAATGTTTCTATCAACCCAGTCTCTAGGAATTCACTCTCCACTCTACATTCTTGCATGTAATGACACAGGAGATAGTTAATGCCCCCTTTAATGATAGGTTCTTAGTCAAGCCCTTTAGGGAATTAGGTTCAAGAGTTTGAAAGAAATTAAAGAAATCATCTCAGTTTTTCTTAAAAAGATATGACTAGTTGGGGCATTAACATTTTAAACACTAGTGCTAGGACTTGGCAGCCCATTCAGGAGTGAACAACTAGTTGGTACACCTATTACATGTACTGAGTTACCAGAAGGGAGTGAAGTGAGCCAGAATTTTCTGTGATGGTGCTTATTTATTCAGGCCTAATATATTATTGCTCTCTCTAAATTTTATTTTCCTTCTCTATTATGCTTTTGGCATGAGAAAGCTACCACCTCTTGCCATTTGACAATCATGACCATAATTTATATTTGTAAATGCCTCATTGGAAAAAGACTTACGTGGGTCCAGGCATGTTGACATCCTGTCTTATTGTCACACTGGGTAGGCAGCAGAAATCGGTATCGACAGTATCCTTTACCTTAAGAATGTGCTTAACGAGGGACCAGCAGTTGCGTAATGTCTATGTCGCTGGACTCCCATGTAGTCGACCACAGTTCAAGTCCCAGACCCGGTGTCTTAAACTCATGCCCAGCACGGGTGCATGCATGCCCAAGATCCCAAGAGGACAATGGAGGAGAAGGGATTGCGGTGTGGCTATCCCCCCCAGGGGGGGGATTTCTCGCTTCCTATCTCTCTCTCTCTCTGTCTTTCGTGTATGTGCCCTATAGCAAAAACCTCTCAAAAAAAGAATGTGCTTAATGAGATTTTGTCCTTTATTGCTCCATTTATAATTTACATTTTCTAGTCCATTTTTACCCAGCTGGTTTCCAAATTCTAAGCTGTAGCTAAGTTCTCTTTTCCACTTATTTCCTATTTAATTTTTTCTAGGGATGGGCCCTACAGGTGATACTGACGTGCCAAATGAATTTCAGAACATTTCTGGCAGTGGTCAAGCTTATCTTTTCTGTGTCTTGTAAAGTAAATCTTTCAAAGACAAGGGTCTAATTTTAAATGTTTTTGAAAGATGAGAATGGTATTTCACAGTGTATATATTTATGCCAAATGGTAGAAAATATTACTTTCTTTTCTTGTTGTAGTTATCTTAATGAAGGAGGTAAGAGTATTCTGTCTTCATTTGCCCTTGAGACTTGGAAAACTCAATGCCTGATGTGTTCATTAGGGCTTTTCTTAACATGTATGTTTTTTGGTTTTAGTAGTACTCTGATAACACTAATCCATTGAACAAGACAGTCCAAGTCAAAGGAGAGCTTAAGAGGCATTTATATAGTTTAGATTTACATCTAATGCATAATATGTTAATGGTTTACATTCATTGAATACTTACAGGGTATTAGACTTGTGATGAGTGTTGTATGTGTATAAACTCATTGAATCCTCACAATAACCACATGGGACCACAATTATTGGCCCATGGAAGGAACTGAGGCTTAGGCAGTAAGAGACATGATTGGAAATTGACCTAGCTGAGACTCACAGGCCTGTCTAGCAATACAGCCATCCTCTAACCTCTGTATCATTACCTTCTGGTGCTTAAAGATCACGTAGTACCATGCTTCTCGGACTTCAGTATACAGTGGTTTTGAAAAGGAGCCTGGGAGAGAACCAGCAGTTAGCATAATGGCTATGTCGCTGGACGCCCACGTAGTCGACCGCGGTTCGCGTCCTGGACCCGGTGGCTTAAAACTCACGCCGGGCGTGTGTGCCTGCGTGCCCAAGATCCCGAGAGGAGAATGGAGGAGAAGGGATTGCAGCGTGGCCATCCCCCCTGGGGGGTGATTTCTCGCTTTCTGTCTCTATGTCTCTCTCTGTCTGTCTGGCGAGCGCACGTGCCCTATAGCAAAAATCTCTCCAAAAAAAAAAGAAAAGGAGCCTGGGATTCTGTCAAGTTCCCAGGTGGTTCCAATATTGCTAATCCTCAGGTCATACTTTGAATAGCAAGCAAGACTCTACCTACTTTTTTAAAAATACATTTTATTTTATTTTAATTTCTTTTGTATGCCTTAGTCAAACTTGTACTCAAATCAGATTACCGTTAATGCCTACAGTTATGAGAGACTCACTGCTGTAGTTACTAGGAGAGTTTCCCTTTTCCTTTCTATTCCTGAGTAGCCAAATGCTGGCTTTCTTGAGACAGTACAGCACACTCTAGAGCCATATTGCCTGTGTTCAGATCCTGATTCCACTCCTACCTGTGTGAGTTTGGACAAGTTAGACAAGTTAAACTCTTTTAGTTTTCTCATCTTTTAAAGGGTTGTTAATAGTTAATCTACTTGACAGGACCATAGAGAGTTAAGAGAGATGCTAGATGTAAAGTGCTTGAAACAGTACCGGCACATACTAATGTGTCTTACAAGAGCTAGCTATTACTGTTAAATTATTGCTGTGGTCTACTTGAGGCTTTGTCTGTTCTCCCTTCCAGCCCTTCAGATATTTGAAAACACTAAATGAATTCTCACTAAGCCTTCTGCACTCCAGGATAAACATCCCCAGTCCATTGGCCTTTGTTTTTATGGGTCTCTTCTGTGTACCAGAGGCTTTCAATATACATTTCAGATTATGGAACTAGAACTGAATATGTCAATCTGCAAGGTCTAACAGACAAATAGGAGAAAACTCTCCTTCCGTTTTCTGGTCACTGTGCTGTCAGGAAGGTAGCGAAAACCAACGGAACATTGCACAGGTTCCACTGGCCATTTGTGTGTCTTCTGTTCATTCTTTTATCTCTGTCCACAATGCTGCTGCTATCTGTACTCCTCTTCACTTTTTTTTTTAATAATTATTTAATTTTATTTATTCATTCATTTATTTTAATTTGACCAGAGAGAAATACACAGAGAGAGAGAGAGGAAAAGAGAGAAAGCAAGCCATGAGGTCCGGTATTCGAACCTCAGTCGACCATGTGGGAGTGTCCAGCGCCTTAACCACCATGCCACCTGCTGGTCCCCCCCCTTCACTTTTGAACTCTAACCTTTAGAACACTGTCATTCTTTGTGGATTCTGTTACTGACACCTAAGTCTACATACGTCCTTAGATGAAGTTTGTAAGCTCCTCAGAAACAGACCCTAATTCATCTGGGTCTGGGAAATACCTAAAAGACACATTCATCTAGATTTTTATTCAATTTTCCCATTTCAATTCAGTGGCTGCCCTCTTTCTCCCATTACTAAAGCATAACATTTAATCTGTCATCACATCCTATTGGTTTGTCTTTTGTAATATTCCTTAGACCAGGCCCTAGTTATCTCCCAAGTGAACTCCTTCTCTCTAGACTGTTCTCATTGTGTGCACGCAATCTTCCTAAAGTACCATTTCGCCAGCAGTTCACTTTCTCATAATTAAATGCAAATTCTAGTTTGTCAGAATGAGTTCAGACTTATTATTTTGACATCCAAGAATCAGAGCAACATTGCTATATTTAATCAGTCTTTTTGCTTAGTCTTCTCATTTTATTGGGTCATCATGACTTTTCTGACGACCTAATATATATGTGTACACACACACACACATACATACACACACACAATCACATACACACACACACTCACACACAATCACATACACACATGGGGTTTTTATACCTCCACAGCTTTATTTATGCACCTAGAATGTTCTCTATTAAAATTCCATTATTCTCTCTTATGAAAATGAGAAAAATGTTTTTATAAGTTTGAGACATACTCATCTCTTTTTTACTTTTCACTTACTATATGTCATACAAATTTAACAATTAGATTGTATTTCTGTTAAAATCAATAGATTTTTAAATGCTGTCTCATATATAGTGCTATAAGCACAGCAGGCAATGAAAAACATATAAGAGATAGCTCCTGCCCTTAAGAAGCTTACAGTCTTGGGAACCAGCAGTTAGCGTAATGGCTATGTCGCTGGACTCCCACGTAGTCGACCGTGGTTTGTGTCCCGGACCCGGTGGCTTAAAACTCACGCCGGGCGCGTGTGCGTGCGTGCCCAAGATCCCAAGAGGAGAATGGAGGAGAAGGGATTGCGGCGTGACCATCCCCCCTGGGGGGTGATTTCTCGCTTTCTGTCTCTATGTCTCTCTCTGTCTGTCTGGCGAGCGCACGCGCCCTACAGTGAAAATCTCTCCAAAAAAAAAAAAGAAGCTTATAGTCTTGTAGCTAAACTTGGAAACATTCAGTTTTTGTGCAGTTGACAAAATCAGCACATGCTTGTTGAAGGAAACTTTGAAAATCACAGAAAAACACAAAGGGTAAAAGGAAATAATATCACTTTAAGAAACATTGGGCCAGCCAGAGGTGTGGTTGAAGAGTCTGGATTCCCATATAGCCGACTATGGAGTTCAAGTCCCAGAACTGGCAACTTGAGATACATGCCAGGTGCATGTCCATCCACAATCCCAAAAGGAGGGAGAAGGGATTGCAATGTGGCCATTTCCCATAAGGGGGTGCATTTTCATCCTCTCTCTTTCTGTCTCCAGTGAGCACAAGCACCCTCCGGCAAAATTTTTAATTTTTTAAATTCAATATGATTAAGATGAGCAGAATTATTTTTAGAAAGACCTAAATGTATTTTCTTCCCTTTAATCATAGAATTTATCTCTTATTAAGTCTTTATAAAATTTACATAAAGGATGTGCATTTCAGTCTGATTTTTGCTTTCATTATATATATATATTTTTTTTTTTTTGAAGAGGTTTTGCTATAAGGCGCGTGCACTCACCAGACAGAGAGACAGAAAGCGATAAATCACCCCCCAGGGGGGATGGCCACGCCGCAGTCCCTTCTCCTCCATTCTCCTCTCAAGATCTTGGACATGCATGCACACGTGCCCTGCGTAAGTTTTAAGCCACTGGGTCCAGGACTTGAACCACGGTCGACTACATGGAGTCCAGTGACATAGCCATTACGCTAACTGCTGGTCCCATTTGCTTTATATATTAAAATATATTTGTGCTTTTCACTGTGGACACATAGAGGTTTAATGTGTTTTTTAAGACAATGGGAACAAAGTATAACATAATTACAGAGGCTATCATTGTTCCATCTCAGTTTTCACATTGCAGGGTGAAGCAGCTGACTGATGAGGAGGAGTGTTGTATCTGCATGGATGGACGAGTTGACCTCATCCTGCCTTGTGCTCACAGCTTCTGTCAGAAATGTATTGATAAATGGTAAGTTATCCACCACCTTCATGGAATCATGTGTATGAGTAAACTTTGAAAGGCATAAGAATACTGTAGTTAAAGATGAGAGAGTTTAATGTTTAATACTGTGAATTTTATGATATGCCTTCTACTGACTAAAAAATATTTTTGCTTTTATACCTAAAGTAGGTAAAGCGTAGGGATGTAACTTAGTTTTGGCATTACTTTTGCTATAAGGAGATTTGTGCCTGAATAGAGTCTATATTCAAACATTTCCCTTTTCTTCCTTTTTTCTCCTCATTTCTATGTTTATTCTCTATGTTTGTTTAGAAGGAATAAATCCTTGAATAGTGGATTTGGAGGGAACATTAGAGATCAGCTAATTAAACTTGTTATATTACAAAATAAGAATCAAGATTTGGAAAAATTTATCATTGATGTACATGGATTTTCAGTACCATATGAGGGACCAGCAGGTGGCATAACAGTTATATCGCTGGACTCTCATATAGTCAACTGTGGTTTGAGTCCCAGACCCAGCAGTTTAAACTCACATTGGGTGCGAGTTCATGTGTGCCCAAAATCCCAAGAGGTCAATGGAGAAGGGATTGCGACATGACTATCTACCCTAGAGAGTGATTTCTTGCTTTCTGTCTCTGTCTCTCTCTCTCTCTGGTGAGTGCACTTGCCCTATAACAAAAATCTCTCTCAAAATAATAATAACAGTAATAATAAAGTGCAATATGATACATTTTAACTTAAGTATGAGCCGTAAAAACCATGATTGCATCCACAATAGTGAACACATCTGTTATCCTACAAAGTTACCTTGCACCCCATTGCAAAGTTCCCTTTCTACCCTTTCCTCTTGATTCTCAGGCAACTATTAATCTGCTCTGAGTCATTATAAAAATAATTTGAGTATTCTGTAATTTTTATAAATAGAATATAGTACTGTTTTTTGTTTGGCTTCTTTCATTCAATATTATTTTAATATTCATCCATGTCAGAACATGTATTCCCAGTTTCTTTCTTTCCACTCCTGATTAGTGTACATTGTGTGGATCTACGCAGCTTGTTTGTCCATTGATCTGTTGATGGACGTGGGTAATTTTCATTTTGGGGCTGTTATAAATAAAGTTGCTGTATTCATTCAGGGACAAGTCTTTTTTTTTTTTTTTGGACACATACTTTGGTTTTGTCTTTAGTAAAGTCTGGAAGTGGAATGACTGGATCATTTGGTAGGTGTGTATTCAGTTTTTTAAGAAGTTGCAACTATTGATATTTTCCAAAGCAATGTGTGAGAATTCCAGTTGTTCCACATCTTTACTAATACTTGGTATAGTCAGTCTTTAATTTTAGCCATTCTAATATGTATGTAGTAATAACTCATGATTTTATATTTTTTCTTTAAATATTTATCATAATATATGATTTACATATCATCATATCACACATCTTTGTAGGGTACAGAATGGTCTTTAAAAGCTTATATACCTGGGACCAGCAGTTAGCATAATGGCTATGTCGCTGGACTCCCATGTAGTCGACTGTGGTTCGAGTCCCGGACCCAGCGGCTTAAACTCACGCTGGGCGCGTGTGCATGCGTGCCCAAGATCCCGAGAGGAGAATGGAGGAGAAGGGATTGCAGTGTGGCCATACCCCCTGGGGGGTGATTTCTCGCTTTCTATCTCTCTGTCTCTCTCTGTCTGTCTCTGTCTGTCTGGCGAGCGCACGCGCCCTATAGCAAAAAACCTCTAAACATACTCCCTGAAGCTTGTATACATGTAAACAGATTGAAGATGTAAACATAGTCACCACCTTCTACAATTACTGTTGTGAACATTCGAAACTAGCTCCACTGGTTATTTTGCATGTACTGACTTGTCTATGACATTCTTTTCTGTGAGGTACAGTTCTAAAGAAAAACATACTCCCTCCTTGGGGGGGGGGTGATTTCTCGCTTTCTGTCTTTGTGTTTTCTCTGTCTCTCTGGCGAGCTCATGTGTCCTATAGCAAAAACCTCTCCAAAAAAAGAAAAAGAAAAACATATTGATTAAAATCAGGCAACAAACAATCTCATAAATTAACAAAGATAATCTTAACCTAACCAATGAGAGAAGAACTTGTGATCTCCAGTTAGAGAACTGTGGGAGATAAAAAGTTTATAATCTGAAAAATCTGAGGGTATTAATTGTTGGTTCAGTTAGGAAAAGGTAAAATTGTACATAACAATAGCTCATTAGGAAAAGACAGAAAAAGAACATTTTCACTCTCACACTGAGTTCTTGTAAGACCACAGTACTGTACTGTGCATAAAGAAATAAGTCCTCAAAAAGGCAAAGATAAAACAAAATTGAAACAGGATGTTTAAAAGTGAAGACATGGTAAAGCCAGTGATTTGGTGTTTTATAGGCTTTACAAAGTTCTTGATTTTAGCTTTTGGTTTGCTTGTTTGTTTCAGTCCAAAGAAAAACTCAGCTGTAACATATTGGACTTTTTCTCTATTATCTAGTTCTATACAGTGAGTGATGGTTATAATAAATACGTATATTGAAACCTGGGAAAACAACTCTCTGTCTTCTATTTCTCTCTTTAGCTTTCCTGGTATAGTAGTTCCTTAAGTATTTCCCCAAGAGCTGGTTTCATTTTAGTGAATTCTTCCAGCATTTATTTATTTGGGGATGATTTTATTTCTCCTTTCCATTTGAAGGATAACCTTGCTGGGTATAGTACTTTTGGCTAAAAATGCTTTCCTTTTGGTTTTAAAATGTCTTCCCATTTTTTCCTTGCTTATATCGTTTCAGCTTAGAAAGCTAATGTTAGTTTAATAGTGTAACCTTTGTAAGTAATTTGATATTTCTCTCTTGTCCTTTTTAGAATTTTCTCTTTGTCTTTGATTTTTACCAGTTTGGCTATAACATGCCTTGAAGAGGATCTTATGTTATATCTATTTAATGTCCTTTTATCTCCTGGATTTGTTAATATTTTATAAAAGATGTTTTATGTCTCTTAACTTTTTGGAATGCCTACTATGAGGCTATTTGACTGTTCAATGGTATCTTGGATTTCCAATATATTGTCCTCATTTTTAATGGTTATTCTTCTTTTCTGATGTTTGGACTAAATCACAAGTTTTGTCTTCAAGGTCAGAGATTCTTTCTTCCCCACGGTCTAATCTGCTGTTGCTGCTTTCAAAGGAGGGCTTGATTTCCTGCAACATATTCTTTTCTCCAGAAGTTCTGTTTGGTTCTTTTTCAGTGTGTCTGTTTCCTTATGGAGTTCCTCCATTGTGCCATGGAAGGATTTTCTCATCTCCTGCAATTGGTTCTCTGTTTTCTCTTGCATATTATTATGGTCACAGTGAATATTCTGAATTATTTTTCTGACATTTCTTTGATCTCTTGTATTTTAACTATAGTTGGTGAGGAGTGATGATCCTTTGAGGGGCATATTTCCTGATTTTCTCCTATTTCTTCAGGCTCTGCTTTGATTTTTAGTCAACTGGTGGTATACTCACCTCTTCCTACTTCTTTGGAGTATGATTTTGTTATTTTGTGCTCCTGCACTTCTCTATGATATGTGAAAGATCTTTGCCAGTTTCCCTCCTCTACTGAGGGTGGGAGTGTGAAATTCATAGCAAGAGCTTAGAGCTTAGGTGTCCAGAGGGGAGTTTCTCTCCTTTTATTGTCAAGGGAGTTAGGGAGAAAGAATTTCTCGCACATCTCTTATTTTCAGGAGTTTAGTTCTTGTATACCCAAAGTTAACTGCTCTAAATGTAGATAGAGCTTGCACTGACAGATACAAAGTAAGGTGGTAGACCAATTTGCTAGGGCCAGAGGACCTCTCATCCTCCACAGCAGGCTGGTCAGGGGCCCTGCTGATGGGTGGAAGCCCAGCAGTTTGTCTTGGGCTTGCCTGTTGGTCCCAGATAGGTGAAAGGCAGAATGGCATCAGCACATGTGGGCCAGCAGCTCCTACCTTCTGTCTGTGGAATTGCAGGGTCTCCCTGTTACTCCTTTTTTCTCTGGGATTGCCAGAACCAGCTATTGGTTTCTGAAGGCTAGGGGTCCCCTCCTTCCCTACAGTAGGCTGGGCAAATGTCCTCGCTGATGAGCTCAAGCCTAGTGGCTTGACTTGGGCTGTGCGTGTTGGTCCTTTTATCTCTGGGATGCAGTATCTCCCTCTTGCTCTATCTTTCTCTATGCATCTCATGATTTTAATTGGTATTTCCCTACTGACTGAAGATGAGTATCTTTTCATATGCTAATTTACTATCTATGTCTTTAATGAAGTGTCTATTCAGGTCTTTGCTCATTTTGTTATTAGATTTTTCCATATTACTATGTTTTGAGGGTTCTTTGTATATTCTGGATATATATCCTTTATCAGATATATGATCATTCTCTTAAGAATGCCTTTTGAGACCAGCTGATGGCATAATGGTTATGTCGTTGGACTCCCACATAGTTGATCATGCTTTGAGTCCTGAACCCGGTGTCTTAAAATGCACACTAGGCACATGTGCATGTGTGCCAAAAATCCCTAGAGGAGATTGGAAGAGAAGGGGATGGTGGTGTGGCCATCACCTCTGGGGAATAATTTCTTGCTTTCTGTCTCTCTGGCGAGCACACACACTCTATAGCAAAAATCTCTCATAAAAAAATTAAAAATGCCTTTCAAAGAATAGAAGTTTTTAATTTTGATATAGTCTGATTGGTCAATTTGTAATTTATGGACAATGATTTCAATGTCATATCTGAGAAAACTTTCCCAGAGTCACAGAGGTGTTCTTTTGTCTTTGTTTCTGAGAAGTTTAGTTCTTTTGGTTTTACATTGAGATCTATGATTTTTTTTTTTTTTTCTGAGACAAAGTTTCACTGTGTTGCCCCTGGTAGCCTTAAACTCTCAATTCTCCTGCAGTCTCCAGAGTAGCTGACATTACAGGCAGGTACCACTGCATCTAGCAATCTGTAACACTTTGGGGTTAATTTTTTATATGGTGTGAAATACAAAATTTTTTTTTAAATATTACCATCTAGTTGGTCCAACACTATTTTTTAAAAGACTTCTTTTCTTCACTAAATTAATTGTTTCTGCACCTTTGTTGAAAATTAATATTCAGGCCTAATTCTGTGTTCTTCTGTTCCATTGATCTCTTTGTCTATTTCATAACAACACCGTATTCTGCTTTGATTAATGTAGTTTTATCATGTCTTAACATCAGAAAGTGTTAATTTTCCAACTTCGTACTTTTTAAAGTTGTTTTGGCAGTTTCAGATCTTTTTTATTTCAATATGAATTTTAGAATAAGTTTTATCAATTTCTACAAAAAAAAAAAAGCCTGTGAAAATTTTGTTTAGGATTGTATTGAGTAAAAAGTTGATTTTGGGAAGTTTGACTTCTCAAAATATTGAATCTTCCAATTTATATACATAGTACATTTCTCTATTGATTTAATTCTTGTTTAATTTCTCTCAGCAATTTTTGTAGTTTTTGACATTTGTGTATCTTTGACAAATTTATCCCTAAGTCTTCACAGTTTTACACTATTATAATTTTTTATTTTTGCAGGGGAGGGGGGTAGGTTTTTGCTATAGGGTGCCAGTGCTTGCCAGAAAGTCAGAGAGACACACAGAGAGAGAAAGTGAGAAATCACCCCCCAGAGGGGATAGCCATGCCACAATCCCTTCTCCTCCATCCTCCTCCTGGGATCTTGGGCACACACGCACACACGCCCATCATGAGTTTAAGCCACTGGGTCCAGGACTTGAACCACAGTCGACTACATAGGAGTCAAGTGACATAGCCATTATGCTAACTGCTGGTCCCTATAAATGATGTTTTTTAAATTTCAATTTCTGATCGTTAGTTGTTAATATACAGAAATACAATAAATTGGGGGTATTAATTTGTATCCTGCAACCTTAGTAAACTCATTTATTAGTTCTGGTAGCTTTTTGTAGAGTCCATAGGATTTTCTTGATAGTCTAAGCATTATTTTTCAAAGATATTTTTTCTGATAAAGAATTTTAGATTGAGAATGTGTTTTCTTTCAGTATCTTAGTAATGTTGCTCAACTCTCATCTTGCTTATGTTTTTTCTATGAGAAGTTTGTCATCCTTATCTTTCTCTGTGGATAATGTGCCTTCTTTTTCTCTCTGGATGCTTTTAAGGTTTTTTCTTTTCATTGGTTTTGAGTAATTTGATAATGATTTGCCTTAAAGTAGTTTTTTTTTTCATGTTTCTTGTGCTTAGGGTTTATGTAGCTTCTTGAGTTTATAGTTACAGTATCATCACATTTGGAAAATTTTCAGCCATTCTTTTCTCAAATTTTTCTCTGCTCTTCTCTCCCTTCTCCTTTTGGGATTCTGATTACCATATATTAGACCACTCAAAGTTGTCCCACAGCTCACTGATACTATTTTCCTTTTTTTAAGTCTTTATCTCTATTTCATTTTGGATAGTTACTATTGCTGTGTCTTTACAAATTCTACTAATCTTTTTCTTTTTGTTTTTGCAATGTCTAACTTGCCATTACTCTCATCCACTATATTTTTTATCTCAGGTATTGTAGTTTTTATTTCTAAAAGTTTGATATGTATGTATTTGTGTGTGTGTGTGTGTGTGTGTGTGTGTGTGTGTGGTGTTGTTTTGACAGGGTCTTATTACTATGTTGCAATTCTCCTGCCTTAGACTCCTGAATAAAGGGGATTACAGGCAAGTGCCACACACCCAACTTTTTACGGTTAGCTGGGAATTGAACTTGGGCCTCAGCTTGCTAAACAGCAGCATCCAGCAAGCTCTACTGTGACTAGATCTGATTCAAGGTTCTTAATGTCATCTACGTCTCTACCTGATGTGTTTACTTTTTTCTCTAGTCTTTTGAATATGTGGAATTCAGTTGTAATAATTTTTAAGTTTTTTATCTGCTAATTCCAATATCTGTGTCTGCTCTGAATTGTTTTGATTTTTCTCTTTATCATAGGCTGTTTTTCTGCTGCTTCTTTGTATGCCTAGTAATTCTTGGTTAGATGCCAGATATCGTGATTTTACCTTTTTAGGTACTGGATATTTTTGTATTACTATAAATATTCTTGAGCTTTGTTCTGGGATATAGTTAAGTTACTTGGTAACGGTTTGATCCTTTTGGGTCTTGCTTTTATGGTTTGTTAGTCAAGACCAGAGCTGTGTTTAGTTTGGAGCTAATTATGCCCCAATGATGAGACAAGATCCTTCAAAACATTCTGCTCAATTTCCAGTCTGGCTGGTGGAAACAGGCAGTATCCTAGGCCCTATATGAGCTTTGCGTACCGTTCTCTCAGATCCTTTTGGGTAATTGCCGTGTCATGTCGTTTCCCCATACTTGCACACACTGATCAGTATTCTGCAGAATGCAGTGGAGGGCAACTAGCTCTCTCCTCCTCTATGAACTTCAGCTGTGTTGGTCTCCTGAGATTCTCAGCTCTATCTCTTCAATTTGAAAATGGCCAGATTCTATCTAGGTTCCCCTTTTCTTGCTCTGGAGCCTGGAAATTCTCAAAGCTGTGTGCTAGGGCAATTACAAGGTTCACTTTCTTTGCTTCCTATATCTCAGGGATCACTCTCCTTTGCTGTGTGATTTCTAGCACTTTTTATGAAATACTCTTTTATACCATTGCTTTATATATTTTGTCCTATGTGTTAGTTCTGTTAAATGGGAAAATAAATCTGATCCCAGTTGGCCAGAAGCAGAAGTTGACTATTTTTAAATTGTGACATTTTATGCACAGAAGAACACACAGAATTATTTTATAAAATATCTCTGGGGAACCAGAAATCAACTTGAATAATATATTGTCAGCCTTAGCTTTCACATTTAGTTTTTGGAACAGATTTCTAAATTTTTGCACAAACGCCAAAGAGCAGTTGATATAATTTGATTACTTTAGTCCCAGAGTTCACTGAGAGATAAAGAGAAAAACATTTTTCCCTGCATAATATGTTTCTGGCTCAAATCTGTTATTTTTTTAATTTCCAAAATAATGTTTGCCAAGAAAACTAGTCCCTTTGAAAACATAATCTTACTTAAATAATCGTACATGTGTTATTTTCCTATCAGAAAAAAATATCCTACGTGTAAAGTTCATCTTTTATTTTAAACCTTGAATGTTCCCTTTTTATACAGTTTCTTAAAGAATTCTTCCCATTGTTTATGAGTCAAAAAGCCTTTTATCAGATCTTTAAGCATAAATGCATTGTTCAGAATCATGTAGATATTACTTAGAAAAATAACTAGTGGTACACCTGGCCAGTGCTGAGAAGTTATTCCCAGAGTAATAATGGCTTCCATTTAAATATTCACAAATAAACATTTCCAATATTGACGAAATCTTTTGTTGGTAAGAGAGGGTTTCTTCTTAGAACTCACAAGGAATTTTTATCCTAAAGGAAAACTTTACCTCTTTGGGTACAGGGATAAGAATTACATAGCATTGTTTATAACAGCAAAAGACAGGGGAAAACTAAATATTAGTTTATAGAGACTAAATTATGGCATATTTATGGGATGTTTGTTAAGAATAAACAGCTCTGGGCCAGGAGGTTAGTGTGGTGATTAAGGTACTAGACTCCCACATGGCCAACCACAGTTTGAGTCCTGGACCCAACAGTTTCAAACTCATGCCAGGTGTGTGTGTGTCCATGCCCAGAATCCTGAGAGAGGAGGATAGAGGAGAACGGATTGCATCATGGCCATCACCCCCACGGAGTAATTTCTCACTTTCTCTCTCTCGGTCTTTGTCTGTCTCTCTGGCAAGGACATGTCCACTATTTAAAAAAAAAAAAAAAAAACTCTCAAAAAAACACATGTCCACTATTTCAAAAAAAAAAAAAAAACTCTCAAAAAAGAAAAAAGAATAAACAGCTCTAATACATGGTAGTGGTCTATAAAATACATGGAAAAGTGAAAAAGAACACTGCTGTGTGTGTGTGTGTGTGTATATATATATATACATATATATATATATATATGGTTAATCATGCTTAACCTGTCTCTAGAAGAATGTGTTTTTTTAAAAATTGATAAAACAATTAGCCCTGAGGAAGAGAATTGAAGACTGAGATGGGAGAGAGAAGTTTCTTTTTCACTGTATATTTTTATGCTGTTTACTTTTTTTAAAAGCCATGTACATGTATTACTTTACAAACAAGCCGTTTTTTCAAAAAGAAGAAAAAGGATAATTTTTGTTTTGCCTTCTTTAATAGGAGTGATCGACACAGGAATTGCCCCATTTGTCGCCTACAAATGACTGGAGCAAATGAATCTTGGGTGGTGTCAGATGCACCCACTGAGGATGATATGGCTAATTATATTCTTAACATGGCTGACGAGGCAGGCCAGCCGCACAGGCCGTGACCTTGGAGTGAAGACATTCTGTTTCTGTTGTGGGCTACAAATACTTTGGTCATGGGGACAGAATGCAGGGATATTGGGCACGATAAAGAAAAATTAACTTTCTCCTCCCTCTTATTTTTGCTATTGTGACAATATATCCCCTTTTTTAAATATAAAACTTTCCATGTCTTCCATTTATGGTAAACTATTCTAAAATTTGCTATTGTTTTAGACCATATTTTCATTATTAGTTCTAACTTGTCTTAGAACTAATTGCTCTTGAATTTTTTGCTAGCAGATAGCAGCAACATTTCCAGAGACTCTGATACACTATTGTTTTTCAGGTCAGGAGTATTTTAGAATCTTTTTAGTTAGGTTTAAAATAAACCAGAGTGTTAAAAAGGTGAAGCCATCTGAGAGAAAATTTTAAATAACAAAAAAGTAGACTATATCAAAGTGCATGTTACTACTTTCTGCTGGAATCGAAGGCATATATCTGCCCCCTTGTGGTTAATTATTGTTCCTTCAATAATTTTTACCTGAAATGATCCAGTTAATTCCTAACTTTAACCACATGTTCTGGAACTACTTATTTTTTACTTAGAAGTCTGCTTTTTTTTCTTTGCCATGCTGTATAATTTGGGTAAGGACTATAAAGTTGGTGTTAACCTTGCCTTGTAAGTGGATGTCTGCTGGGGAATCTTGGCTGTGCTGGAAATGTTTTTCCACACCTATTGTAGATAACTGTTCTACGTGACTTGGTCATGCATCATGAAATTGCAGAAAGAAATTTTTCTGTATCATCAATACTAATTTTTTTTATTTAAAAATTATTATAAGTCATTTAATATTGGTTCATGGTATTTTTAATTTCTTAATCTGAAGGCATCTTTGTGAGGTTTCAAAGTCTTCTGATTTCTTAGATTAAGAGAAGAAAACAGCTTTGAAAAATAGGGCATAATTTGGCTTTCTTACTATTTCACTGTACTTCCTTTGAAAGATGAGAGAATACAGTAATGAATTATGTTCTTCAGTAGGTCCTTAACCATTTTTTAAAGTTTTTGCTTATGAAATAAATTTTTTAGCATTAACATTTCAGTATATAATAAAACTAGAGCCTGACATCTCCTTTAAAAATTACCTTTAACAGTCCATGTTACTTTTCTGACCTATTATTGGTAAGTTGCAAGTACTACTATTTCCATAAGTACCAAGATACAGTCCTGCACTGCATAACTTTGTGGTCACTGACAGACCACGTATACAAGAATGGAGCAGTAGGCTATACCATATAGCCTTGGTGTGTGGTAGGCCATGCCATTTAGGTTTGTAAGTACACACTATTATGTGCACTCAGTGACAAAATAGTCTAACAGCACAATTGTCAGAATGTATCTCCATTATTAAGCAATGCATGACTGTATAAAATTTAAGTAGCCTCTTATTGACGACAAGATTTTTGGATACTAGGAATTTAATAGGCATACAAGAAAAACAAAATTCATTTCAAAGAAAAATGTCTAACCAAAGATAGCTTGATTTTGCCCAGAAAACTACTGAATGAACCCATTGACAGGATGGGGACAGCTTAAGAACCAAATACCGCAATACTCACTCTAGATGTTTATGCAAACAGAGTACTGGGGTCTCTATCATAGCAGCCTGGCAGTGTACTTGATGGTTGTGTGACCCCAAGCTAGTCTCTTACTCTTGTTACAGGCTCCTCCTTTAGAACCTGAGACTTCATCTGTGGTTTTCACACTTTTGGCAGTGGAACCTTTTTTCCTAAGTAAAATCTCACACAGAACCCTTACAACACACACACACACACACATAAACACACATACTCACAAAAGTCCACACCACTCTATAAAACTCATATTTTAATATAAATTTCCATATATTATCTAAACTTTATATACTGTAATAACTAAATATTAAGTCAACCAGTGAAAGCACATTAATGCATTTGTGATACTATTATATTAGAATTTGGTGACTAATCAAATCAGATGGCTTTTTTCCTTCTTTTTTCCAAAAAATCCCCCACATTTTTTCAGTTAAGTTCCATTTAAATTTGAAGAACCCTAAATCTCTTCCATAGATTCTTAGTGTTCCTTAAGACAACAATATGAAGTACATAATTTGAACACTTCATGATAAATAATCCTCTGAAACCTTTTTCACCTCTAAAATTTTAAATTGTCCGTTTGGATTAGGCTTACTAAGTTTAATTCAGATTGCCTGATTTTAAAATGTTCCTGAAATTGAACCAAGTTGCTTTAAAGATTTTTGGACCTTTCAAGGTGTAGCCGATATATCCCCAAGAATCCTCTACCTTTCAAGGAATTATTTAATAATGAGACCTGTGACTTGATATCGCCCAACCCTTTTTATTTTACAATATAAGCTCTAAGACACTAACTGATCTACTGTGAAATATAAAATGTTTTTATTAGCCTTATCAAATAAATGAGCACAGTTCTTTGCTTACTCCATTAGACTGGGTAATGATTCTGTAGATGTGAATGTTAGGTAGATTCTACTGTAATAACTAATCCTAAAAGTTGTAAATTTGTTTAATGGATGAAATGTACACTTTTTATATTCTGTACAGCTTTGTCTTTTTAAAATATGAAGTACATAAATGTACTTACTATGATAAGGTATATAATGTGTGCCTTCTAGAACTTGTGAAACTGTTTCATGAACCCTAAGGAATTTGTTTTGTAAGTTAGGAAATTTTCTCTATCCTAACTCAGTAACAAAGGGTTAAGTTACTTGTGTTATAATGCTGTAGAACTTTAGTTACAAAATAGTACCAAATAATGGTTGATAATAATAATACCTGTTTTATTCTTAGGTCAAGCTGATAAATTGTGCAATAAATAATCTTTAGCAAGTGAATTTTATCTAATTGAAGAGGTTTTTTCTTATGTCATTTCATTCTTACTTACTAAATGTTTATATTCCTTAGAGGACCATTTTATATTGTACTCTGAGAGTTCGTGGAGTTTGTGTCATATGTTTTAAAATTCATTTCCGTTAGATTCGATTTCCTTTAATCCAATATATATTGACTGATAAGGCTGCTTGAAAATATCTTTTGATTCAGTGATTTTTAACATTGAGTAGTTGGATCCATTAAAAGGTAGTCTAAAGAATTTGCATTTTAACTGTTTTATTTTTTTTCCTCTTCCCCTTAAGTCACTCTTACTTTGTCTAGGACTAAGAAAACTATTTGGAGATTAGGGGAATGAGCTGATCACTCACATTTATGATGGGTAGCACAATGACAGTATAATAAATAGCTGACTACAGACTTACGTTTGTTTTCATGTCTTTTTACCTATTGAACAGTAAAAGTAATCCATAAAATACTCTACTCTGTGGTAGTGTGATGTTTACTTAGTAGAATCACTTCCAAGATAGAAGAATTTAATTGGAGAAGAATCTTAAAATACTAGTGCTAAAAAGAAGAAAGAAATTTATAAGAGGAAGTACAATTTATAATTAAATTTACTGATACATATCATTGTACTGTGTGGAAATACATAATTTGGTTCAAAAGATACAAAACCCCTTCAGAGATATCTTTTGGTAATCTTTTATCTATTTAAAGTCTTTCTGTCATGTTCTCACTCACTAAAATATATATGTGTGTGTGTGTGTGTGTGTGTGTGTTTATATAAATACATGTGTGGTTCAATTTCAGGAACATTTTAAAATCAGGCAATCTGAATTAAACTTAGAAAGTCTAATCTAAAGGGACAATTTAAAATTTTAGAGGTAGAAAATATTTCAAAGGATTATTTATCATGAAGTGTTCAAATTATGTCTTATGGAACACTGTGAATCTATGGAAGAGATTTAGGGTTCTTCAAATTTGAGTGGAACTTAACTGAAAAAATGTGGAGTTTTTTGAGAAAAAAAAGAAAAGAAAATCTGATTTGATTACTCATCAAATATAAACACACACATATATATGTATAGTTTCTTCTTTAGATATTGAGGGTGCAGAAATTTCCAAGAAACTATGTCTTCCTGATTAGCATTTCTTTTTATTGGTATTAGTTACACTCATTCTTTTTTAACAGTCATGGTTCAGTTATAAAATATTTAGGTATATCATCTTCAGTAGTTTCTGCAAACACAGAGAAAGGTGACTATTATTTTACCAATGTAGCACTCAGAAATGAGTAAAGAAAAAGTCACCGGGATGTGAGTTCAACTCTACTTTAATCCAAGAGGAAGTATGAAAAGGCCCGGGAAGAGGGTTTGATGAATACCAACCCAGGAGTTGTGATATGAAGCAGAGAGCAACGATCATTTCTTCAATACAGTCTGAAGTAACACATAATGTAAACTTGAGCCCTTTAAAAAGGCATAGGGGATAACACACCTCAAAACCACTCCTTCAGAAACCTGGTTCAGTATACAGTTGCCCTTGATTCCAACTAGAAATGAAAAGGAAAGTGGAATTCATCCCCCCAAAGGCCAGTTATGTACATTGATGTAATTAAAATACAAAGTGCTATAGAAAAGGTGTCCAGAAAGCTTTCAGGGTAGGTAAAATCCTACACAGGACGACTGAACAGACTGAGATAACAACCAGGGAAAAGGAAACGCATATGTGTGGCTTTGCTGATAAACTATAACAAGGCAGACTTAGAAAACAAAATAGCAAAATTTTTTACCTTCTGGGTCTAGAGAGTCTCATTTTGAAAGCTGAGTTTTCCTAATGAATGTCATCCATGTCTCCTAAGCCTTTTTCTTTTTTTTAAACTTGCTAGAGGGCATGTGCTCACCAGAGAAAGAAGGAGAAAGAGAACCCAAGAAAGCAACCTCCCTCGCCCATGGGGAATGGCCAGACTACAATCCCTTCTCCATATCTCCCTCTTTTTAGGCATGCACCCAGGCTTCGGGTTCAGGACTAAAACTGAGTGGTCAGCCATGTGGGATCTAGCTGCCTTAACCACCATGCTACAGGCTGGCCCATCCAAGTCTTAGTGAAACAAATTAACAGTTATTATTAGTAGCTTTTCATAATGCCCAGTCTTCTTTAAGTAAAAAGACTTGCTGTATATCTTAAGTAGAAATAGTCTCAAGTCACAATCCTAGAAGACTTTATTTAATTAAAAAAAAAAAAAACTAAAACTAAATATAGATAAAACAACAATGAAAAACTGTACAATAGTTGCTATGTTGGGGCAAACATATATAAGTGGGGGCTTCTCAAGAAGAATTTCTAAGATAACAGTTCATTCAATGTCATTGCTAGCTGAAAGACAGCATATGCAGTTGACTAGTAAAAAGATTATATCAATAGTTTCATTTGCTACGTTGACCAGTGAAGGGGACAGGTATTTTAACGTCACAGGACAAGATAATCTAAAGTCAAATAAGCATGGTCACAGGCAAAAATAGGGTTCTTTTCACTTCGTAATGGTCAAAAGGACTCCCCATAGTGTGAATTCACCCACAGAAATAGAGGAAGGTCCTTAAGAAAGCCTGTTGAGTACCAGGAACACATTTCCTTAAAAAGTTGCCAAAAGAAAATTCAGTCATTAAATATGCATTTATTAAGCATCTACTATGTACCAGGCACTAGTAATACAGATGAAAAGTACATGAATAGGGAACCAGCAGTTAGCGTAATGGCTATGTCGCTGGATTCCCACGTAGTCGACCGCGGTTCGTGTCCCGGACCCGGTGGCTTAAAACCCACGCCGGGCGCGTGTGCGTGCGTGCCCAAGATCCCGAGAGGAGAATGGAAGAGAAGGGATTGCGGCGTGACCATCCCCCCTGGGGGGTGATTTCTCGCTTTCTGTCTCTATGTCTCTCTCTGTCTGGCGAGCGCACGCGCCCTACAGTGAAAATCTCTCCAAAAAAAAAAAAAATACATGAATAGAGCTTAAATTAAGATTGGTCTTTAAAATACTTCCTATCTGTCTCTTGGGACCACTCTACCTTCTGAAGAAACTTTCATACTAGGGGAAGGGGAAATGTCGCCTTTAAGAAAAATGCACCAGGTTATAGTGATTTTTTTTTTTTTTTTTAATTTATGAGGCCTAAAAGAATAGTGGGGAATGAACTGGATTAGTAATATACTTGGTTCTAGTTCTGTGACTTGTTAGCTATGTGACCTTAATTGTCTGGCCCTAACTCTTATTAGTGAAATAACTGGACTACAGTTACAGAATACTAGAGCCAAAAGGAGCAGAGATCATCTCGTCCTGCGCTTTTCCAAAGCCTTAGTTTAAACAAAAATACTAAGTAGCAGCCCCAACATAAAACTGATGGAAGCATTCACTTTGACAGTCCCTAGACTGTTCACTTACCCCATGGTCCCCCTCCCCAAAGCAAGTGGTCCATGACGATGTTCAAAGAACACTGTTTAAAAACCACTTGTCTACTCAACTCACTCTCCAGAGGAGGAAACCAAGACTCAAAATAGAAGCGGCTCTTTTAATGAGTACATTTGGTTTCCTAACTAGGAAGGAGGGAGGAGGACTAAATAAAACAGTCGAGGAATTCACTTAAAAATATATTTTTAAAAAACACAAATTGTCAAGAAGGGAGTCTCCTATTTTAATTCTCTCAAAGTAGCCCCTTTATGAAAGGGAGCTTCACAACTGATCTAGTTTAAGGCAGCCAGCCAACCAGAGGCTGAAATGAACAACTACCAATTAGCCTGCAGGGCCTATAGAGAGGAATGGGGCCGGAAACCACACAGACCTCATGTCACTTGGCATTTGATGGTGGAAAATCTTGGCCCCAACAATTCAAGCTCTGGAGGTTTCAAGAAAACTATATGGAAAATTAAGAACAATACAGATTAAAAACCTAGATCCCCAAGAAGTCACCAACTTAGAGACATAAGTGGGTTAGAGCTTAAGTGAATAGTGCCGCCAAAATCACTAGTTTGAAATTCCTTCAGAGGCATCCTCTTCATAGAGAAAAGTCCTAGTTAGGTATCTTGGCCATTGTTAGTACCAGCAGATTTGAAATTCGACCAGAAGGCTAAAATGCATGTTGAGTGCTGACTCTATTTGTCAGGGCCGTGATCTCTTCAGATTTCATGGCGTCAGACAGGAAGCTGAGCTCGTTGCATAAAGTCTCATATCGGAATGCCATCCGGATCTGAGCGACATTTGTCTTCCGAATATCATTTCCTTCAGGTCCTTCTTTATAATAATTTTGTCCCAAAAACTTCTGTTTTTCCTGTGGAACAAGAGAAATACAAATAGAGCGATATGACTTAGGTTGTCTTTCCATATCTACAGGGGCAGCTGTGACACCAGCCACAACAAGTCACACTAGTCCTCCAGAAGCAGGTCCTCAGTCAGGACATCTGCCCACAGGACTCCAGATTCCTCCCAACCTCTGGGTCTGGAAGATATCACCTCTGATGACCTTAGTTATCTTTGCTGACTGTCCTTTCTTTGATTGGAAAGAAAAGAACTGCTGTGGGCGGAGATATTAAGTGAGAAGTCTCTCCTGGGGCCAGCCTATGGCATAAGGGTTAAGGCAGCTGGATCCCACAGCCAATTGTGCAGTTTGAGTCCTGGACCCCGTGGCCTGAAAGAAACACACTAGGCACGTGGGTGTCTGTGTGCGTGTCCAAAATCCCAGAAGGAAAGAGAAATGGAGGAGAAAGGAGTGTGGCATGGCCATACCCCATGGAGGTTGCTATCTCACTTTCTTTCTCCAGTGAGCACACACACCCTGTGGCAAAATTTATAACAAGAATTCCCTTCTGGGCTGGCCCCGTAGCTGGTGGTTATGGGAGCTGCATCCCACTTGGCCAACCATGGTTTGACTCCCAGCCCCCTGGCTTGCCCCAGATCCCATCAGAGGGAGAAATGGGAAGGGATTGCAGTGTGACTGCTCCCTACTGGTTCCTTTCTTCCTTTCCTTCTCTCTCTGTCTCTATCTTTCTCTCTCTAGCACCCTGTGGCAATAAATAAGTCCCTTCTGAGTTTTGAAAAGCACTGACAGGTATTTCCAGGGAGGGCCACTCTAAGAAACAACCACACACAGAGAATCTGGAGCCTCTAACTCCTCTGCATCATCACCCTCTGACAAGAGCATCACCTGAGGCAGTCAGCCCTTGTTCAGTAACATCAGCCAGGGGAGGTACCCAGGAATGCAAGACACATCCAGAGCAAGGTCTCTATTGCAGGCTCTGTGGCAGGATGACTTACAGAGCTTTAAAATGAGTGCTGGAGGCTCATCCCCATCCCTGCAAGAATCTTACCAGTCTAGGTATTATTCATCTACTTGAGAAATATTGAGTGCTGCTGTGTGCCAGGACTGATCTATGGCCTAGAGATAGAATGCTGAACAGGTCTCTGCCCTAACAGTCAGCATCCTAGCAGGAAGGATGGACAAACACATAAGCACATACTGCAACCACAAAGTGGTAATAAACGTTATGAAGAAAAGCAGATTAAGGAGATAGAGGATGATGGCATGTTTGTGGCTCTTAGAATGAGTGATCAGGAAGGGCCTCACCAAGGAGGTGATGTAGAGGTCTGAAGGTAGGAGTGCACCCATAAAAGCATTCTCACCCAGAGCTCCTGCTTGCCCTGCTCATTCTGCTTACTCAGATCCTTTGTGCCATGGCAGCGCCTGGCACACAGCAGGCACTTGGGGCCTGGACGGGCAGATGCAAACAGCCCCATCATGGGCCATACCTGATGCGAGAGGCCACTCTGCAGCACGCTGTTTCTGGCAATCTCACACAGGTCGCACGTGCTCAGCTTCCACACTTGTGCTGCAATGGCATATTCTTCCATGAGTGCTTCCTAGATCCCTCCCCAGAAGCACAGGGATTAGACAGGAGAACTTCCAGGGCAACACATCACACAGTCCCAAAGCCAAACACATCAATCATTATAGACCTGATCTTTCTCACCAGCTGGCACCTGCATCCTTCAACAATGTCAGACCTCAAATTCCAGACTCCTAGCCCAGCCATAATCTTGGCTGGTTGGAAGACAGTGGCAGGGGAGGGGAGGGGCTCACAGCACAGTAAGACCCTGTTGAGGGTCTCTATAATATAAAATAAACTTTTTAAAAAATTCCAAACTTCTAAGACCTTTTTTGTGTGAAATCACAGGTTACCAAACAAAAACAGAAAAGAGCAGCCCCACCTTTACTTGGCCTGCACCGAGCGCCAACGGTATTGGAAGCTCTGTGTCAGTCAGGAGGGTCCCGGGCTTGGCTCTCCTGTGACAGCCCCTCTAGCTGTGCACATTCGCAGTCCCTGCTCTCTAGCTTGGCTTTTTATTCTACGTGCCGTTTTCTTAAGATCATCCAAAAGGAAAAGTTAGTGAGTAGTGTGTAAGAGTAGAGATGAGGCCAGCCCCCAGTATGGTGGTGAGCACTGCATGGGGAACTGGAGGTCACATGGCTGACTGAGGTTCAAATCCCAGCCTTGGCAGCTTGAAAAACATTTGAGTTTGTGTGCGTGTGCCCACACACCAGTGGAGGGGAGAGGCATGGAGAAAGGGGATGGAGAAATGGAGCAAAAAGGATTGTGGCATGGCCACACCCTGTTGGGTGGGTGCCTTCTCTTGCTCTCCCTGTTGTCTCTGACAAATGCACATGCCCATGCCCTCTAGCAATAAAAACTAACTAAATAAAAGTCATTTGAAAAAGAGCAAAGATGGTATATTAAATAAGTATGAGAAATGGGCATAGTGTCAGTGTGAGGTAGCATAACCCCAGAAGGATTGGGGTTTGAACTGTGCTTTTCTGGGGTGTGGAATGTCTGCCCTTATCACCAACCCTCCATGTCCAAGAGCAATGGTTCTCAAAGTGCAATCCAAGGACCCCCAGGGGTCCTCAAGATCTTTTGAAGACTTCTTACTTTCCCAACTACGCATCTTCATGAGATTATTTTCACAGACTTTGATTAAAAAACAAACAAACAAACAAACAAAAAACAATGAATTGAATGCCAATGGAGGCATGCGAATTCCAGCTGTTGGCTATTAAGTGAGACATTGAAGAGATTTGCAAAAACGCAAACCAGTGTCACACTTCTAAAATTTTTTGTTTTGTTTGGGGGATATAGTTATTTTTTATTAACAGGTTTGTTACTGTTATTTTTAGTGAGTTAGTAAATATTTTAAATTTCTCATGAGTTCTAACATGGTAAATATCCATAGGTATGACCCAAGTAAGCAACGCCTCAATGAGGCTTCAAGACTTAAGAGTATAAAGGGGTCTAGAGACCCTGGAAGCCTGTCCTAGAAGTGCTTCTAATTGTACTAGTCGGTGGCTGTCTTGCCAGCATCATCAAAGGTGCTGGGTATACTACTTGTGGCTGGTCCCCACGCATGACATCACTTTTCCTTTCTTCTTCTCTCCCAGAGATGCAAAGTATAATTGTAATGGTAATAGTATTAGTTACACAGGCAGCCAATAGAGTTCATTTAATAAGCAGACACTGTATTTGACCCATTATCTTAACGAATCCTCACAGTAAGGTAGAGATTGAGATAATTCTACCCATTTTATAAATGAAGAGGAATGTATTACAAAGAGGTCTAATAACTTTACCAAGGTTATGGAGCTAGTTAATGTCAAAACAGAGAAAGGCAAAAATACTAATTTATGCCTTCAAGGGCTCAAGACCCCCAGAGAGAGGGCTCCTGGAAGGACACATCTCCCTCAGCAGGGGCTTACCTCTTGTCTTCACTGGGGCCACCAACCCCATCCCAAAGGCAGAATCGAGCAGGGGGCTCAGGTCCCCTGGTGGGAGGACAGGTCAGGGCTAGGCCTGCCGAGGTGACTCTGCCCTTGCCCGTGCACTCACCTTCGTGTAGTGGAACTGCATGGGGTCATCGGTGGAGAGAGAGACATGCAGCCCCTTGTGCAGGAACTCCCGCAGAGGGTTCTTAGAGTATTCGAGGAACAGACTGTTATTGCTGAGAGGAGACATGGCGATGGGGATCTGAGCAAGGTAGTAGAGATACTGCAGTACTGGACTCTGCAAAAGAACCACCAAGTGCCCACGTGAGGGCGGGAGGGAAAGGCACTCACCAACAGAAACCCGGGGTCTGGCCAGTCTCTGCCCAAGTCCCCAACCAAGTCCGAGTCCCACCCTTTCCTCAGCTGTGTGCTCATCTAATCCCTGTATGGTGCCCTCCCTGGCCACTGCCCTGTCACTGGGTGAAACACACTCCACTCCTGCCTGCCTCAGGGCAGGAAGGGCAGCTGCCCCCACTCTCCAGTACCAGCTCCTCCGCCCCAGCCCTGACTTTGGGTCAGCTGAGGACTCCTATTTCTTTATTCCTTTGATTGCAAACATTTAGGTTGATTCGGTCAACACTCCAGCTCCTCAGAGGTAACCCTCGAAGAGATGGGAAGTGGCAACCAGACCCAGCCAGAGTGACCTTTCAGGGCCAGGGCAGTGGATCATTTAAGCAAATATCATGCCTGTGGAAGCAACCCCAAACGTGGAGAAGACTGAAATACAGTGTCCATGCTGGGGTTGTTTATCCCAGGAAAAGGGTGGATGACTTCAGGTCCAGCAAACAGGGGCTGGGTGAGTTGATGAGACTGAGTGGCAAGCCACTCAGCCACCAGCCTTTAGGGTGAGGAGCGTAGACACTGTGTCACAGCACTGGAAATGCTAGTGATGGCACGATAAGGGACAGACCAGGGACCGAAACTCTGAGCGAGGCAGTGGCAATGCTGTGATGCCTGTGATGCCTGTGTTCCCTGTGGTAATAAACTCATGAAAAACGTGCTCTGGAAACAAAATGACAGTCGGAAATACTAAGAGAGCTGGTCATGTCCATTTAAAGTAATAGCAATAAGGGTTTGTTGTATTTTCGCCTCCATTTTTTCGTAAATCTGAATTGTGATGTGCTTGGTCATATTACTTTCATCCTTCGAAATGAAACCAAGATGATGACAGCCCAGCCCAGCCCAGCCCAGAAAAAGGCCCAGGCTCCCAGCATCATTGGCAGGAGGAGCCCAGGGCAGGACAGCAGCTGCAGGGCAGGCTCTGGGAGTGGCCTTTACCTTCTTGAGCAGCAGCCCATGGGAAATGTTGTCTGCAGTCAGGAAAGCCGACACCAGGTGGGTGATGGAACCAGCCTCCCCGCAGTGAGGCCGGAACAGGAACGTGCTCAGGCCTCGTTCCCTGCAAGAAAAGGGACACCCTGGGTCAGGAGGAGCCCCTGGTTTTGTATGGAGCTTGCACCTCTAGCCCAGAGCCTATTTCAGGGGGGACAGTGTGCCCTGAACAGTACCCCTATGAAAATGCAGAGGACCAGGCCAGAGCCTCTGGGACCCAAGAGACATTGTCTCCAGGGGCAGAAAGGGGACCTCATGGTAGAAAGAGACCCAGCCCTGTCCTCTGTCCACCTCTGCACTGCTCCTCCCAGGCCTGTCTCCCACATTCACAGACCTCCAGAGCAGGAAAGGCCGTTAGACTCCATCAGTCCAACCTCTGTTACACCAGTGAACAAACCAAGGCCAGAGAGCAAAGTCTGTTTCCAAAGCCACCCGACAAGCCAGCAGCAAAGCTAGAACTGTCCCCAAAAGCCCAGCCCAGGATTGCCTTGCCCCAACTCCAAACCATCTTCCTTCAGTTAAGGGCCCATTCAAAACCTCCACATTCTCCCACTGGCATCGACTCAGCTGAACTACAGAGGCCCCAAGGCCCCCAGGGGCAGGCAGGATGCCAGGCTCGTAAGGAGGGGAATGGCACAGGGCCCAGTTGGCCTGGCCTCCAACTCCTGCCCTCATGCTCCTGGTGCACATGGGTGCATGTGTTGCTGGAAGCCTGTGCATGTAAGACCATCCCTGGGGGCACACGTGGATCTAGTCTGCCTTGTTCCCTGTCATATGTGCCTAGGAAAGCACCTGTTCCTTGCACATGGAATACTTGTTGAGAGCGTAAACACATGTGACGCTGCTGGTGAGTGAACACATGTGTGTTGGCACATCCTGTTTCTGCTGTCTCAGGGACGTACAGCTACTGGTGAGTGTGTATATAAGAACATGGGTGTGCACACGTGTGGTATGTAGCTGCATTGTATATCTGATAGGTGCCTGTACTGGCATATGTGTTGTAGTGGCCATGCCTGCATGCCTGTGATCATTGAAGACATGCCTCTGTAGTATGCTGGGGAGTATCTGTGTTTCGAGGTGTGTGCATATGCAGAGGTGCATTGGTTCAAGAGCACACAGACACAGGGCTCACATGTGTGCGCAGTTAGCACGTGCACACGAGCCATGCCAGGGGCAGCCTCACCCACCTGCGGAGGTTGTTGAGCACCATGATGTTGGCGTACATGTAGTACAGGTAGTAGCTGTAGGGCGGGTTCTGCTCGCTGGTCCACACGTCCGGGCTGGGGCTCTTGTCCGAGAACATGTGGTCACTGTGCTTGGACTCATCATCCACGCTGTCGAACCCGGTCACCTGGGCAGGGGGAGGGTTCCTGAGCAGCAAGCCAGGGCAGAACAGGCCTGGGCTCAGGCTCAGCCCCTGCTTCCTGGGGTTCAGAGCTGAGCTGCTACGGGCCTGGGAGTTCAGGCCTTCCGGCTCATGCCTCAGTCAGGGACCCCATGGCCTGGCAAAGGCCACATTTCTCCCAGGGAAATGAGTGGGAACAACACCATGGCTGTTGTCCAGGGTGTCCAAAGGTAGCCAGGAGGCCGGAGTAGTGGAACAGGCCAGGCTAGGGGAGAGGGAGGAGCCACAGGCATCACCCAGCCCTCTGTGGCACAGGGTGCAGCAGCTACCACCCTCAGCAGCAGTGCTGAGCTGTGACAGGGAGAAACCCACTATACTCATGCACCTGCTACAGCCAGGCCCTGCTGAGCTCACTGCACACACACCTGCTACTTCAATACTGGAGCAACCCTGGGGGAGAGGCTGTGAGCCCTGCCTTACAGCCAAGCAAACCACAGCAATGCAATTAAGGGCAGGAAGACCTTTTGTCTCTAGGTGGAAGCAGGAGCGTGAGAATGTCTGTTTCCAAGGAAGCCCCAAGACTAAAACATGGTGTTGTTAGCAGGACCCAGCCAGGATCTGGCTCCTCTGTGGGCCCATGACTGCCTTCCCACTGGGGACACAGCTCGCCCCATATCCCCACCTCCACCAACTGGCCCCTAGGGCTGCCCCAGAGGAGAAGGGGCTTCCCCTTCTTGGGGGAGGCTCCCTTATTTTAGAAATTTGGCTTTGGGGGCTGGCAACCTCATGCCTGGGACACATGGATGATAGCTATGAAAAAGGAAGCTATGATGAGAGCCAAGGAGAAAACCCAGCCCAATTCACGGAGAATCCATCACCCACACTTACGTATTTTAGGAAAAGGTGGAGCTCTCGGTGATCCTGGGGATTGATCGTAGCCTTGAAAAGGGGCAGGAAGATGTTCTCCAGCATCTTCCCAAAGCTTGGCAGCAGTTTTTTTGACCTAAATATGTCACTGGGGACAGTAAAGGCTCACTTACTGGGTGGGTCCCATAGGACCCTTGGCCTTCTCCAGGGTGCCCCAGTCACTTCCTCAGGCAGCTGCATCCCCATTAATCACCCTGAGCAGCGGAGCATGGGCTGGACACAGACCCTTCCTTTATCCTCCACTCTCAGCAATTTCTGCAAACTCAGTGCCCACCCACAACCTTCAGTGCTTTCTCAAGCCAGGGGCCCATCCCAGAGTAGGATTAGGGTGTGGGCTGACCAGGTCTGAGATGAGTCCCCAAATTTCCCAGAGATCCAGTCTCCCTACCACTCAGTTCCCCTAAACCCCATACCCCACCTGTCCTGGGGCCATGAGCACCCCACTGGACAGTCACCTGGAGAGGACAGTGGTGGGCTGAGTGTGTAGGTGGAGGGCCAGCAGTGTAGACCACTGCAGGCAACCTTATACTCCAGCATTCACCCAAAGGACAATTCAACCTCAGCCACAATGAGAAGAGGGTGGGCAGCTCTCCCAAGGCCTTTGCACATAAACACTCTTTAAAGAACAAGAGTTTAAGTGTCACAGGACATCTTGTCAATCGTTCTCTCCTGTGGAATAACCACTGGGGAGAAAGAGCCTAAGCCACCCTAGAGTTGCCCCACCCCAACAGCACAGACTCAGCAGCCTGTGCAAGGCATGTGGCATCTCCAAGGCCATGGGTCAATGGCGGGGCTCCCTCGCTTACTAGATCCGGGGCACCTGGATGATCCAGCGCATGTTGGGCGAGTAGACCTTGTGCTGGATGAACCAGCGGGCCAGGTTGGGCCACTCCTCAGGGCTGCGGCCATAGATGGAGAGCCGTGGCTCCGAGTACTGGTACTTGCTCTCTTCCAGCTCCCGGGCCACCTCCTGGCACCAAGAAGAGCTGGTCAGCCCAAGAGCATCTCAGCTACCCAGCTCCCCGTCACCGGCAGGGGCCTGGGCTCCCTCAGCCACCTGTTCCCAGGCTGATCAAAACCCTGGTGCCACCTGCTGCACCACCTCAACCGGAGCTCCTTCCTGGGAAGGAAACCTCAGGCTCTCCCTGCAGAAGCACCTCCACACAGAGCCAACCTGTGCCCAGCCAGATTCAGGCTACAAATGGACAGGGCTGCAAGCCAGGATACCCTGAGCTCTTCCAGAATAGATATCCCCCTCCTGGCACATACAACACCAGCTTGGGAACCTCAGTCCCTGCTGTGCTGGATGGTGGCTAGAGGGGGAGTTGGGAAAGAGAGAGGGACAAGAGGCCATGCAGCCCCACCCTCTGAAGGGAGACTCTGTCAGGTGTGAGAGGAGGCTCCAGAGTGGCTAAAGGCTCACTGACCTTGACCATCCGAGCAAAGTACTCTCCTCCCAGGTAGTTTTCAGTTTTCAAATACAGGTCGCGCAGCTCACTGGCCCCCACAGGGTTATATTTGGAGTTGAACTTGTCAAAGCGATGGAATGTTTGCCGGCCCTGGAGGGAAGAGACCCAGCAAGATCACCACACGGGTCTGCAGGCCTCACACACATTGCCCTGTCCAGACCCTTCCAAGGGGGCCTTATGTGCAACCACACTGGGAGCTGTCTTCCACCTTATCTACTGCAAGGAATCTTGGAAATTCCTGAAGGCCAGGACCACATATCTTTGCTCAGTCTACAAAGGGGTCCTTTGGCAAGGCCTTCTCTG